TGCTAACCATGGACACAAAATTCTTTGCGAAATCCCCCAATTAAAAAATAACTTATTGTGTCCTACTTGGACGATTTGATAGTCACTCTCTATATCATAGCAAAATAACCTCTTATGCAAAGGTCTAAGGAATTTACCAGAGTAGTGAGGGTCTCATTTGCTCATTTAATTACCACATTCATGTTAGTATTCCCATGTGCTAACTCTGCTGTTGTTCCTTATCCTCTTGCCAGGGTAGATTTCTTGTGGCATCATTTACCTCAACAAGAGGTCTTAACTTTCACCTCTCAATTCACAGATTAGTGTATTTGACAGGTTGATAAATTGCATGACTTTTCACATAAAGCTTTCATCTATAATCCACAGAACTATAGGACACACAGCAACGCACACCTGGATATGGCTGCCCCTGGCTCCTGGCTGCAGGATCCCTTCTGGCTGCTTACCTTGCTTCCTCAGGTCCCACCTCGCCTGTCTCTCTTTCCATCCAGAGAAGGCTGGGACCGCCAGGCACAGAGTGGAAGGAGGACCAGACAGGACTGCCTCCCGCATGTGTTCTGTGAGCAAGGACAGCAGCAGCTTCTCGGGACTAGCTGTAGCTCTGCAATGGCTGTAGCACAGGTAGCCAGCTGCAAGCTGCCAGGCGCCAGCTGCCAGTAGTCAGGGCTAGACTTTCCTGGCTGAGCCTCACAGACAGAACCCCGAGGAAACACCCTCATTTTTACAAAACACATACCAAAAGAGTGATTCGGTGCAGGATGGAAGAAGATAAAGGGTTCAAGAAAGAAAAATTAACTCTTACCAGTCATGTTGCAATTCTTAGTGCATGTCTTGAGAGTATATTAAACATGATCAGATAAAAAGAACAATTAGGGGTGAAGGGAAAGGTATTGATACAGAACAGCTTGCTTAAATTTTAAATACAGCCTCTGGCAATGCTTCTCACCACTAAGTTGGGACCCCCAATTTTCAATGCATATAATTAAAGGTAGGACTGGGGGTATAGTTTAGTGGTACAGAACTTACCTGGTCTTTGCCAGGCTCTGATTAGATCCCCAGCATAAAACACACACACACACACACACACACACACACACACACACACACACACACACACGAAAAAACAAAAACAAAAACAAAAAAAATGAAATATGTCTTCACTTAGTGGCAACAGAGCAGTTAACTACAGAACCATTCAAATAAAGACCTGAGAAAGGAGGCCCAGTAAGCTCACTCATTCCATCCCTCTGAGCACAGTATTTCCACTCCCAACAGTCCCAAAACCTCAGGAAAGGGACAGGCCACCCCACCCCTAAGTCAAAAGCAGCCCTCACCATTGTCCCGTTCTGTCACCATTCCTCCCAAGCCCTCAAACGTATGCTTGCATGCTACTCCACATTTGAGCTGCCCTGGGACAGCTATTCATTCCTAGCTAAAACACAAAGCATTCCAGAAAGAAAAACTAGCCCATTAGATACACCATCACCTCTGCCTTCTCTTGAAAGAAGACTGTGATCATCAGGCAGAAAAGAGCATTAGACTCCAAGGGATGCTGTATACATAAAGGGAGATGTTTTGCTTGAATAAAGGTATCCTTGAGTTCTATCAGTTACAAAATTTATAAAATAGTTGCTCAATTTAACTGATTTCTTAAGTTAAATTCTAAAAAAATGGTATTACTAAAACAGAAAATTTGATTAAACAATAATTTGGGGAAGGGAAACTTTTTTTATTAGTTCTTTTATTTTTTCACAATTTATTCATTATATATCCTGATTGAAGCCCCTTCTTCAACTCCTCCCAGCAAAAGCACAGACACACATACACACACATCCTCCATCTTTCCCACTATCCCCTTCCCCAAGTCCATTGAAAAGCAGAGTTCTCCTTTGCCATCTGCCCACAGCTTACCAAGTCTCATCAGGACTGCCCGGATCCTCTTCCTCTGTGGCCTGGTTAAGGCCGCATCGCCAGGGGCAAGTGATCAAAGAGCAGGCAACCGAGTTCATGATAGAGGCAGCCCCTGTTCCCCTTACTCAGAAACCCACATGGAGACTGGACTGCCAATCTGCTCCATCTGAGCAGGGGCCTAGGTCCTCTCTCTGCATGGTCTTTGGTTGGTGCATCAGTCTCTAAAGGACCCCCAGGGCTCGTAGTTTTTAGCTTTGTTGGTCTCCTTGTGGAGCTCCTGTCCTCTCCATGTCCTTCTATTCCTGTCCCCCTCTTCTTCCATAAGACTCTTTGAGCTCTACCCAAAGTTTGGCTGTGAATCTCAGCATCTGCTTTGATACACTGTTGGGTGGAGCCTTCCAGAGGACTCTATAGGAGGCTCCCATCCTGTTTCCTCTCTTCCACTGCTTCTGATGTCTATCCTGTTGCCATTCTGAATGAGATGTAAGCATCCTCCCTAGGGTCCTCCTTAGTGTTTAGCTTCTTTAGGTCTGTAGATTTGGCTTGAAAGACAACAAAAACTACCACAACATAAAAACAAGCAAAAAAGAAAAAAAAAAGAAAGAGGAAGGAAGGAAGGAAGGAAGGAAGAGAAAGAAAGAAAGAAAGAAAGAAAGAAAGAAAGAAAGAAAGAAAGAAAGAAAGAAAAGCTGCAAAGAGCTAACTAGTTATGGGAGCCAACAGAAGCTTCCAAAAAAAAAAAAAAAACAAAACAAACAAACAAAAAAAAAACAGAAAAATTTAGGAGGAAAATATCTAAGAAATCTTAACTATCACTCATAGACACCCTCTCCCAAAAAAGACATTCTTGAAAGTGTACTGAGCACCTCCTAGAATTAAAAGGTCTACTCATTGTTATAAAATAGAAGATCTGTTATGGAATATTTGAGCCTCCTAGGTAATATGATGGAAAAAAGATAATTCGTTGTAAACAGAGTTCTCAAATCTGATCCATATGTATGGCAAGTTTGCTCATGGAATAGTTGTGAACAATTTCCATTTGGCCTCAACAATTATCTATCTCTCCTCAGATACAAATAAAACTCATAAAACTAGGAAAATGGTGAAGCCATTAGTGGTCAGGCCACTAATTGGGCCACCTCATGGATATCTGCATAGGTACAATATAAATATTGGCTACTTCTTCTTTTTTTTTTAATCAATCAATAGATTCAAGGCAGAACATGGTTACAGAATGGAATGCAAGTGTCTGGAAATGTAAATATACAGTTTAGTCTGTTATGTAAAAAAAAAAAAAAGACAAGAGAAAGGGCGCCTTTAATATCATCTCAGAAAATATACTTTTACGTTGAATTCAAGAGAAATGAACTCTATTCTAATTTAAAAATTATCATTGCAGGTCAAAACTATGTATGAATATATAAAGGCAACAGCGAGAAACTGTTAAAGGTAGTTATTATGAAATGGGAATGAGAATTTTGAAAAAAAGAGGAACAGAAGAATACTACTATTATAAACAATTTTTACAGCATCTTATTTCCTAATTATAATTTTTAAGGAAATTATTAAAACCTATACCTAGAGATGAACACAGGAAGACTCACAGTTAGTTTGTGATGTGGTGGGATTGTGTATAGTTAAAAACCTTACATTTAATTCAAAGATGCTAATTATAGTAATTTTATAAATTAAGCAAAATTGCAAACTCAGAAAGCAATCAGGATAGCTGTGACTAAGACTGAGTGATGAAAAAAACTAGACAAGCATTTGCAAACACATTAAAAGAGATGTTGCGAATAATTCAAACATCTTCATTCAGTGTTTCTAAGAAGTGAGATTATAAAGTGCAATGTTTTCCAGATTTTTATTTGAACTTCCCTATTTGAGCTGCCTGTGATACTGAATTACTCAGCAGCATTCCTACATACCCACACATAAAAACCATACACTGATAATTCAAGTGGTCACAGTCAAGTTTTATTCTTTTTCTATACACTCAATACATTTTTAGCCAATCTATCCTTCTTTGTATTTCTGTCCTTGGAGCTTCAAATCAACCTTAATTCCTAACTAAAAAGATCTTTTAAAATTCTGTATTTTGTAGTCTGAGCTTTTAAAAATTAGGATATAAGGTATTTGCATTTTGAAAGTTTACATGGATTATTTTTTAATATGTCACGGAGCAGGTAAACTCAAGGTACGTAATGAATGAAAATTACAGGATTCTTTCCTTTACTAACTGTAGAACATAAAAAGAAATATGATTAAGCTGAAGCACCGTGTTTGTTGATAAGTGGGTTATTATTCTAAGACTAATTTTCATTACAACATCTTGGTATTAATGGTTGTTACACATTAATATTTGATTTGTTTAAAACTTCTTTGCTTACTGCATTGATTTCACAAGATAGAAAATTTCCAAATATGAAAGCTAGGAACTGTAATATGCCACAAGAAAAATGAAAATGCTGTTGGAAAACTTAGGGGGAAATGTGTTTCATCTTTTATTTCCAAGGAAAATCTGTATATTATAAAAGCAAGCATTTGTCATATCAAGTACAGAGCTCACATTGCAAACTGAACTTTTTTCATTACATGTCTGATGATGTAAAAATCAAGTAACTTTGAAAGGCTACAGCCGCCACTGTTTCATGAAAATCATGTTATCACATTGTACCAACACACCATTCTTTTAAAGGATCAAGTAGAAATTAGACCCAATTATTAACAAAGAGTATAGCATAGCCTATTGCTTGTTTTATAGGACCATAAACACTATACTAAGACTTAGCACTTAGACATGAAACATGTCTTAACTTTCTGAAGAATGTACTAGAAATAAACAAAACATTTAGAATGCTTTAATATTTCCAGTTAACACCATTTGTATCAGTAACTGCAATGTTGTAACTTTCAGCACTTCACATAACTAATCAATGAAGCTGGTTAATTTTCAGGGTTGGGAGTAAGAACAGACAAACAGGATATATAAGAATATCAGGCTTCACACTTCAGCTAAAAATTTAAAAATAAAAACTGTTTTTCTTCTGTGCATCAAAACTATCAGACTTGAAGTATGTTTGTTTGCTTTAATCCCATGACTCATCATCGACTGGATTGGGAGCTTGTGAAGAAGAAATCCCTGTTGTATTCAAAGTGTTCTTGCTCTGGTAATTCTTTAAAAAAAAAAAAAAGGAAAGAAAAATGGAAGAAACAAGTTATGACAGCCCTAATGTTGTATCATCTAGACTGATAGCAGAGACTCCCATTTTCTACCTCAGCTACCCCAAACATGTAATGACTTATTCACTTGAAAAAAGGGCCCATAGAAACCTGTGATGTCTAAATTGTACAACATAACTCAAGAAAATGATTTTTCAAATTATTGAGGGTTTTTTCGTTTGTTTTATTGTTTTGCTTCTGTAGCCCTGGCTGTCCTGGACTCACTGACCACGCTGACCTCGAATTTACAGAGATCTGCCTGTGCTTCCCAAGGACTGGAATTACAGGCGTGAGCCACTACACCTAGATATATCACTGGGTTTTAGAGAGCAGAAAAGTTAACCATATACTTCAAATAGGCATAAATATTTGATTAGAACACTCTTCTGTACCAAGATTTACTGTGAAAATCCCTGGCATTTCATAAGACTTGTTGGTCTACAGATCTAGCATTTTGTATTAATAATGTGGTCAAAATTAAAGCATTCTCAGAAAGTTCAGAAGAACCCAACAAATATTAGCTAAAGGAACTGGGGTGTTCAACTATAAACATATGTGTGTGTAATTAAAATGATAGTTTTAGATTAATTAAACAGCATTACTCATAGAATCAAGCACATGGTCAAAAGTAATTAGAAATTAATTTCTTAATGCTTCTCCACTAACCTTCCTAGTGTCAACAGATGCAAACACAGTTCCTCTCGTGCTATTATTGAAGCTGGGAGGCACGTATGTACTAAAGGCAATTTCTTCTAACCATGCAGGAACATCCTGTTGAGCCTTGAGAAAATAAAAATTTCTTATGCAACATGAAAGCTCAAAACTGTGAAATATTTCTTAACAACAAAGAGCTATTCAATATTAAATATTTAAAGTTAAAAAAAATTGTTTAAACTTACATCTGATAGTACTTTAACTAGAGGCTGTGCTAAGTGATTATCAGATTCAGTATCAAAAAAAGAAATTGCTCTGCCAGTATTTCCACAACGCCCAGTACGCCCAATTCGATGAACATATTCATCAATGGTAGAAGGAAGATCAAAATTGATAACATGCTGAACATTTTCAATATCGAGCCCTCTGGCAGCTACTGAAGTAGCAACAAGAACTGGGCACTTTCCACAGCGAAAATCTCCAAGAGCTTGCTCTCTCTCCCTCTGTTCCCGATCACTTAAAAAAAAAAAGTTTGCATTAGAGCCACTTTTGAGGGATTAAAATTCATCAAGCAGTATATTTTTAAAAGTAAAAATGACAGCACTTACTATTAATGCCCACTTTCCACACATCAGGTGATTTCCCCTTCCCCAGATACCACTTTATGCTCAGTCTTTCGTTGGAACAACCACCCCGATTAGCAGATGGGGTAAGCAACAGCTAACAGGGCCAGAATATAAATTCTAGTAATAGAATTGTCATTTCTATTCCTGACAAAAGGACTATTACTCAAAAAAAGTTCTTAAAGTTCCAGAAAAAGACAGCATCTTCAACAAATGGTGCTGGTCCAACTGGATGTCCACATGCAGAAAAATGAAAATAGATCCATATTTATCACCCTGCACAAAACTAAAGTCCAAGTGGATCAAAGACCTCAACATAAAACCAGATACTCTAAATCTGTTAGAAAAAAAAAAAGTGGGGAACAGCCTAGAACTCATTGGCACAGGAGACAACTTCCTGAACAGAACACCAAGAGCACAGGCTCTAAGAGCAACAATCAATAAATGGGACCTCATGAAACTGAAAAGCTTCTGTAAAGCAAAGGACACTGTCATCAAAACAAAACGCCTGCCTACAGATTGGGAAAGAATCTTCACTAACCCTTTATCTGACAGAGGACTAATATTGAGTATATACAAAGAACTAAAGAAGCTGAAAAGCAGCAAACCAAGTAATCCAATTAAAAAATGGGGAACAGAGCTAAACAGAGAATTCTCGACAGAGGAATATCGAATGGCAGAGAAACACTTAAAGAAATGCTCATCCTCATTAGCCATCAGGGAAATGCAAATCAAAACGACCCTGAGATATCACCTTACACCCATCAGAATGGCCAAAATGAAAAACTCAAGGGACAACACATGCTGGAGAGGATGTGGAGAAAGGGGAACCCTCCTCCACTGCTGGTGGGAATGTAAACTGGTACAACCACTCTGGAAATCTATCTGGCGCTTTCTAAGACAATTAGGAATAGTGCTTCCTCAAGACCCAGCTATACCACTGCTAGGTATATACCCAAAGTTTGCTCAAGTACACAAAAGGGATATTTGCTCAGCCATGTTTATAGCAGCTTTATTTGTAATAACCAGAACCTGGAAACAACCCAGATGTCCATCAACGGAGGAATGGGTACAGAAATTGTGGTATTTTTACACAATGGAATACTACTCAGCAATCAAAAAGGAGGAAATCATGAAATTTGCAGGCAAATGGTGGGATCTAGAAAAGATCATCCTGAGTGAAATATCCCAGAAGGAGAAAGACAAACACGGTATATACTCACTTATATAGACCTATAAGATATGATAAACATAATGAAATCTATACACCTAAAAAAGATAATCAAGAGAGCGGACATGGGGTAAGATTATCAATCCTCGTTTTGAAAGACAGATGGGAGGCGCATTGAACATTGACAGGAGTCTACTGAGTGCATTTGAAAGACTCTAACTAGCAGTGTTTTCAAAGCAAAGACTCACGACCAAACCTTTGGCAGAGTACAGGGAATCATAAGAAAGAAGGGGAGTTAGTCTGATGAGGAAAGGATAGGAGCTCCACAAGGACCAAATACATCTGGGCACAGGGTCTTTTCTGAGACTGACATGCAACCAAGGACCATGTATGAATGTAACCTAGAACCTCTGCTCAGATGTAGCCTGTGGTAGCTCAGTAACCAATTGGTTTCCCATAGTAAGGGGAACAAGGACTATTTCTAACAGGAACTCAATGTCTGGCTCTTTGGCCTCCCCACCCCCCAAGGGAGGAGCAGTCCTGTTAGGCCACAGAGGAGAGCTTTGCAGCCAGTCCTGAAGATACCTGATAAAACAGGATCAGATGAATGGGGAGGAGGTCCCCCCTATCAGTGGACTTGGCAAGGGGCACGGTGGAGATGACGGAGGGAGGGAGGGACTGGGAGGGAATGAGGGATCAGGACATGGCTGGGATACAGAGTTAATAAAATGTAACTGATAAGAAAAAAATAAAATTAAAAAAAAGTACAATTCCAGAGTTCTATACATTCAAAAATTATTTTAGATCTTCTAGTAAAACCAAAAAACTGGTGTTAGTGTGCCTTTTTCAGCATTCCAACTTAAAAAAGTCAGACATCAGAAAGATTAAATTCGGCATAAGAAACAATTTAAACCGAAGAGCCAGAGACCTTAAGGACCTCTCTTGACAAGTTCCCCTTCATGAAGAGTTAAGACACTTTTAGCTTGCCTGTCCCTACCTATAAAAACAAAGTTCCAATAAAAATAAAGAAGGGCCAGGGACTCAGCCAGTAAAGGTGCTTGTCTCAAGCCTAATAACTTGAATTCTATCTCTGCAACTCATGTAGAAGGAGAGAACCAATTCAGAAAAGTTGTTCTCTGACCTCCACATGTACACAGCACTGGGCACATACGTAAGAATACTAAAATAATCCATATTTTTTTAAATGATGAAGAACAACTCCTGGCTGTTAATGCAGTTCCCTGATGCAAGAAGAAAAAAGAAAAAAAAAGTTAACAGTTGAGATTTGAAATCATGAATCCTAATCCTAGTACTATAATCACAAAATGACAACAGCCACATATTTCTTAACGATGGTCTGAGAAAATGGGTCACTAAGCTATTTCATTTGTGCCAACATCATGGAGTGAGTATACAGATACAAAGTAAGACCCTGTCTCAACTAGGTGATACGATCTTATGGGACACACTATCTATATATGCAGTTTGTCACTGGCCAACACATTTCATGTGCATGCCTTTTAAATATAAAACCAAAGTCATTTTTAAATTATTTATTTTTATTTTATTTACAATGGTGTTTGCCTAATGTATGTCTGTGTGAAGGTGTCAAGATCCCCTTGAACAGAAGTTACAGATAGTTGTGAGTTGCCATGTGGGTGCTGAGAATTGAACCTGGGTTTTCTGGAAGAGCAGCCAGTGCTTTTTGGTGCTCTTAACTGCTGAGCCATCTCTCCAGCCCCATCTAAGTTATTTTTAATAGAAAATCTTATTAATGCACTTACCCATGAATACTTGTAGTTGATATTTTTTCTTGACAAAGAAAAGTTGCAATGAAATCTGCTTTTTTCTTGGTTTCAACAAAAACCATAGTTCTTTCATCACCTATAAAACAACAAAATTATTAACATCCAAACTACAAAATTACGCAAAAAATAAAAAATAAAAAAAGGAGGAATGTTGTCTAATCCAAATTGTACTGCTAGCACCTGGACTGGAAAGAGTATTGCCTGAATGGATGTATGTCAACAAAGAGACAACTTCTTTCCTATTAGATAGATTTTAAAAACTTTTCTTAAGCAAATATAATTAACTGCCTGTCATCTCTCAGTAATTCTGAAAATAATCCCATCTTTCATTTCTGCCTAGATTGGTCAAGATATTTACACTAACAGCATACGACCCTGGGAGGCTAAACTCTATTCTATGTTCCAATTCAAATCCTTTCATTCCTTAATTCAATCCTTAATTCAAATCCTTTCATTGCCAAAACATGAAGCAAAGTTAAATGACAGCCTTATCCTGACGTTTAACTCATTAAATAGTATTTACTTTCTAGCATAGATTACTATGCTAGATTACTATAGATTACCGTCATAAATACTTTCTGGCAGAGATTATTCTATATAAGGGATTACTCTATAAAATGCTGACAAGGAAAGATATTAAGATATCTACAGCCTTACTACAAGGAAGAATTTTTGCTGCTCATAATCACTCTTTCCTACCTCCCTGTCAGTTTACTTCATATATTACGAGTATTTAATAGTTGCCCTATCACTATTCTAGACACTGAGAATAAAAATAAAGCCCCTGCTCTCACTGTCAATTCATTGAGCATTAACTGTGTTAATATTTGAAACTATTGAAATGTTATGTGAACAACAACTAGCTTCCCATTTTTATATGCTATTAGTGTTAGGAAACATCTGATGAAGCTGTTCATCTCAAAATAATTATTTTATTTTCCAAATTTTTCTTGGCTGGGTATTGTGAAGCACACTTGTAGTCATAGCACTCTGGAAGTTGAGACAAGATCACCAGAGAACAGACAGGCAGATGGGAAGTAGGGCTAGAAGGAAGAGAGATAAATAAAGGAAGAAGAGAAAAGGGTAATACGTTTTTATAAACCAGTACAAACTAGAGCACAGCATGATGGGGCAAGCCTGTAATCCCTTCTAGTAAGAAGAGGCAGGACAATCATCACCTCACATTTCAGAACAGCCTAGTCTACACAGAAGTCTATGGCATTCAGAGCTTTATGGTAAGACTATCTCTAAAAATAAGGAAAACAAATAAACCTGGGAAAGTGAAGATCAAAGCCTTTCAGTGCTTGCTAACTCACATTTCTAGCTTTTCCTCATTATTACAATTGACTTCTTATTTCTCTGCCTCAACATTGACATTCAAACTGAAACAGAATTAGTAAACTAGAAGAATAAAGGAGGAGGCAAAGTACAGTACTAAGCAGACATCAAGGTGACCATACATAGGTGTGTGGGTTTTTTTCTGGGTTTTCAGTTTGATTCTATTGATTAATCAGCCTATTTCTATGCAAGTACCATGAAGCTTTTATTACTGTTGCTCTGTAGTACAGCTTGAGGTCAAGGATGGAGATACTTCCAGAAGTTCTATTATTGCATTGGATTGTTTTTGCTATTTTGGGTTTGTTTTTTTTTTTGTTGTTGTTGTTGTTGTTTTGTTTTGTTTTTCCATATGAAATTTAGAATTGTTCTTTCAAAGTCTGTGAAAAACTGTGTTATTCTGATGGAGACTGCACTGAATCTATAGATTGCCTTTGGTAAGATAGCCATTTTTTATAGGTTAATCCTACCTATCCATGCACACACAGGAGATCTTTCCATTTTCTGGTATCTTCAATTTCTTTCTTTAGAGACTTGATGTTCTTGTTGTATAGGTCTTTGACTTCCTTGGTTAGAGTTAGCCCTAGATACTTTATATTATTTGTAGCTACTGTGAAGTGTGTTGTTTCACTAATTTTTTTCTCAGCCCATTTGTCATTTGAATACAGGAGGGCTATTGATTTTTTTTATATTAATCTTATATTCAGACACAAGGAGTTTATCAGCTGCTGGAGTTCTCTGGTGGCATTTTTGGGGTCACTTATGTGTCTTATCATATCATCTGCAAATAGTGATACTTTGAGTTCCTTTCCTTTTTGTATCCCTTTGATCATCTTTTGTTGTCTTACTGCTCTAGCTACAATTTCTAGTACTACATTGACTAGATATGGAGAGAGTGGGCAACCTTGTCTTGTGTCTGATTTTAGTGGGATTGCTTTGAGTTTCTCTCCATTTAGTTTGATGTTGGCTATTGGCTTGCTGTATATAGTCTTTATTGTGTTTAGGTATGACGCTTGTTTCCCTGATCTTTACAAAACCTTTATTATGAAGGGGTGTTTGATTTTGTCAAAGGCCTTTTCTGCATCTAATAAGATGATCATGTAGAAAAATGCAAATAGATCCATATTTATCACCCTGCACAAAACTCAAGTCCAAGTGGACCAAAGACTTCAACATAAAACCAGATACACTAAATCTACTAGAGGAGAAAGTAGGTAAAAGTCTTGAACTCACCGGCACTAAAGACAACTTACTGAACACAATACCAACAGCTCAGGCTCTAAGATCTACAATTAATAAATGGGACCTCTTGAAACAAAAAAGCTTCTGTAAAGCAATGGACACTATCAATAAAAATGGCAGTCTACAGATTGAGAAAAGATCTTCACCAACCCTACATCTGACAAAGGGCTAATATCCAGAATACATAAAGAACTTCAGAAATAGAATACCAACAAACCAAATAATCCAATTTAAAAAATGGGATACAGGGCTACACACAAAGAATTTTATTTTTTCCCCTGCTTTTGTATAATTTTTAACAGATGTCATAATCATGGATTTAGTGATAAAAATCAATCAGAAACATAAACACATGGTTTTGTTCTCGCCCACAAACTTCAGAAATATGGGATGGAGTACAACAATGCAAGCTTAGAAGGGATAGAGATTACATTTGCAAAATGCCTGTGGAGCCCCTATAGGAGAAATGAGTGCTGACGCAGACAGGGTAACTAGGAACATTCTAGAGATGTTCTGGGTGCCTCACTAGGTTTTTGTTTTTTAATTTTTTTATTCCAATTTATTCACTTTGTATCCCAGCTATAGCTCCCTGCCTTATCCCTCCTAATCCCTCCCTCCCTCCCTCTCCTCTTCCCATGCCCCTTCCCCAGTCTACTGATAGGGGAGGTGGCTATCCTCCTTCCCTTCCATCTGACTCTAGCTATCTGGCCTCATCAGGACTGGCTTCATTGTCTTCCTCTTTGGACTGGTAAGGCTGCCCCACACCCCCCTATCAGGGGTGAGCGGTCAAAGGACTAGCCACTGAGTTCATGTCAGAGACAGTTCCTGTTCCCCTTATTAGGGAACTCACTTGGACACTGAGCTGTCATGGGCTACAACAGTGTAGGGGTTCTTGCTTATCTCCATATGTGGTCCTTGGTTGGAGTATCAGTCTCAGAAAAGACCCCTGAGCCCAGATTTTTTGGCTTTATTGGTCTCCTTGTGGATCTCCTGTCCCCTCCAGGTCTTTCTATCTCCCCCTTCTTCCATAATATTCCCTGCACTCTGCCCAAAGTTTGGCTATGAGTCTCTGCATCTGCTTTAATACCCTGGTGGGAGGCCCTCTGTGGTAGGCTGTCTTGTTCCTTGTTTTCACCCTCTTTCAGTGTCTATCCCATTTGCCTTTCTGAATGAGGATTGATCATCTTATCCAGGGTTCTCCTTCTTACTTAGCTTCTTTAGGTGTAGAGATTTTAGTATGATTATCCTATATTATATGTCTAATATCCACTTATAAGTGAGTATATATCATGTGTATCTTTCTGCTTCTGGGATACCTCACTCAGGATGATCTTTTCTAGTTCCTACCACTTGCCTGCAAATTTCATGATTTCCTTGTTTTTTTATTAATAATTTTAATTTTTTATATTAATTACAGGTTATTTACTTTGTATCCCAGCTGTAGCCCCCCCATTCCCTCCCAACCCCACCCTCCTTCCCCTAAATCTACTGACAAAGGAGGTCCTCCTCCCCTTCCATATGACCCTAGTTTATCAGGTCTCATCAGGACTGGCTGCAAAGTCCTCCTCTGCGGCCTACCAAGGCTGCTCCTTCCTCGGGGGCTGGGGGTCAAAGAGCTAGCCATTGAGTTCATGTCAGAGACAGTCCCTGTTCTCCTTACTAGGGAAACCGACTTGGATGCTGAGCTGCCATGGGCTATGTCCGAGCAGGGGTTCTAGGTTATATCCATGCATGGTCCTTGGTTGGAGAATCTGTCTCAGAAAAGACCCCTGGACCCATATATATATTTGGTCCTTTTGGTACTCCCGTCCTCTCCAGGTCTTACTAACTCCTCCTTCTTTCATATGATTCCCTGAACTCTGCCCAAGGTTTGGTTATTGAGCTTCAGCATCTGCTTTGATACACTGCTATATAGAGTCTTTCAGAGGCCCTCTATGGTAAGCTCCCGTCCTGTTTCTTGTTTTCTCCTACTTCCAATGTCCATCCCATTTGTCTTTCTAAGTGAGGATTGATCATCTTACCCCGGGTCCTCTTTCTTGTTTAGCCTCTTTAGGTGTACAGATTTCAGTATGTCTATCCTATCTTATAGGTCTAGTATCCACTTGTAAGTGAGTGTATAGGCTTCCTTGTTTTTAATTGCTGAGTAGTAGTCCACTGTGTAATGTACCACAATTTCTGAATCCATTCCTCAGTTGAGGGACATCTGGGTTGTTTCCAGCTTTTGGCTATCACGAATAAAGCTGTTAACAACATGGTTGAGCAAATGTCCTTGTTGTATACTTGAGCATATTTTGTATATATGCTCAGGAGTGCTATAGCTGGATCTTGAGGAAGCACTATTCCTAATTGTCTGAGATAGCGCCAGATTAATTTCCAAAGTGGTTGTACAAGTTTACATTCCCACCAGCCATGCAGAAGGTTTCCCCTTTCTCCCCATCCTCTCCAGCATGTGTTGTCAATTGAGTTTTTGATCTTAGCCATTCTGATGGTTGTAAGGTAAAATCTTAGGGTCATTTTGATTTGCATTTCCCTGATGACTAAGGGTGTTGAGCATTTCTTTGATTCTCTGCCATTCAATATTCCTCTACTGAGAATTCTCTGTTTAGCTCTGTACCCCACTTTTAATTGGATTACTTGATTTGTTGCTTTTTAACTTCTTGAGTTCTTTATATAATTTGGATATTAGCCCTCTAAACACAGAATTTTCAACAAAGGAATCTTGAATGGTGGAGAAGCACTTAAAGAAATGTTCAACATCCTTAGTCATCAGGAAAATGCAAACCAAAACGACTCTGAGATTCTATCTTACATCTGTCAGAATGGCTAAGATAAAAAACTCAAGTGACAGCACATACTGGTGAGGATGTGGAGAAAAAGGAACACTGTTCCATTTCTGGTGGGAGTGCAAACTTGCACAACCATTTTAAAAATCAATCTGACATTTTCTCAGAAAACTGGGAATAGCCGTACCTCAAAACCCAGCTATACCACTCCTGGGCTTTCCCCCAATGATACTTCACCATACAACAAGGACATTTGCTCAACCATGTTCATAGAAGCTGGAGACAACCTAGATGTCCCTCAACCACAGAATGGAAAAAGAAACTGTGGTACATTTACACAATAGAATACTACTCAGCAATTAAAAACAAGGAAATCATGAAATTTGCAGGAATATGGATGGAACTAGAAAAGATAATACTGAGTGAGGTAATACAGACCCAGAAAGACACACATGCTATATACTCAATTATAAGCCAATATTAGCCATACAGTACAGGAAACACACACTACAATGCACAGACCCCAAGAAGACAAGTCCAATGGACTTCTTAGGCTTCATGTCTGCCCACTAGTTATGGGAACAGGGTATATCTCTGACAGACTATGTTGCCTGTGTTTTGATCAATTCCCCTTGATGAGACTTCCCTACAAGGCCACAGGGGAGGAAAATGAACTCAGTCCTCATGTGAATAGATAAGCTGGGGTATCTAGGTAGGCGGGGGCCTCCCTAATCTGAGGACTAGGGCAGAGGGGATATGGTAGGGTGAAACTCAAAGGACAGGAGGAAGGGGCCTATGACAGAGATGTAAATTGAATTAATAAATTAAAAAAGATAACAATACTAATTATTTCCTGCTCAAAATAAGGTTACTGCAAGCAAACAAAATCAATCAAAATTAGATCAAAAATAATCTGAAGGCAGAAAAAAAATTTCTCATGGGTAATATGAAAGACAGAATTAGATTTTCCAAGTTCCCTCTAGCTCCAAAACACTTTAAATCTATAAAAATGGAAAGACTCACTAGAAGGCAAGAAATGAGGAACCTGAAACACAAAATCGAGTTGTTTTTCCATTGAAGACTGGATCTTGCTATGTAGAGCCAGAGGCTGGCCTCAAACTCACAATCTATCTGCGTTAGTTTCATGAAAGCATGACGAAGCACACATGAACTCAATAGTTATAGTTATAAAAACATGTGTTACCATTAAGCCTTTCTAATTTTCTAATATATATTAGAAATGTGTATATATATATATATATATACACACACACACACACACACAAACACATACTTCTGCTAAAATATTTTAACAAAATATTGTTAAATTAATCTGAAATACTTTCTATATCCAACTTTTATAGAGATAAAAGTTTGTATGTAATTTATATAAAAACTAAGTAATAGTCATCTATAAAGATTTACAGAATAGGATTTATTAAAAGTTACACAAAACAATGGCAATTACACAAATAATAATTATTTTAAAATTCAAAATCATGACAAAATAATTATATTAAAGTAAGATACCTATATTTCGTAGAATCTCGACAAGTTTTTCTCTTTTTGAATACTGGCCAACTTGAAGAATGGTCTGCTGAACATCTCTGCATGCTCCTCCCACTTGTCCAACAGCAACAAACAAATAATTTGACTTTAAGAACTCCCCAGCCAACCTTAAAAGAAAAAAATATTACTCTTTAGCTTACCCTTTTCCACTAGTGCTCATATTTTATTCCTGTTAATGTCATGTCATATTAACTAGACAGCAACATGGAACAGTGTGGTAAATTATCATCCAAGTATTATTTTCAAAGATTAGGATAAAATGTTAAGTTTTTTTGTGTCAAATTATGTACACAAAAATTTCCAGTAAATTATGTTTATTCAGTTATATAAAATGTATATATAACAATAAAAATGTGAACTATAATGCTGACTATAACAAACAGAATTTTTAGATTAAAAAATGAATTGGAATAGCTCAATTATTAGAGTGCTCCTTTAGCATGTACAGAACGCTATGTTTGATTGCCAACACCACATAAACCATGTTATGGAGGTATATGCCTATAATCTGAACACTCAAGAGATAGAGGCAGGATGAGCCCTAGAAGTTCAAGATCATCCTTATCCACACAGTGAGCTTGAGGCCAGCCTGGGATATATGAGACCCCGTCTCATAAAAGGGAGGAAGGGAATGCGGGAAGGAATAACTGAAATGTAAGCCTAACGCACAATTCTGATCTCAACACTTAAGAATAAATGTTATTGCTTTCTTGATTAGTTTCTTTAGATGTTCAGGGTTTTAGTAGGTTTATCCTATGTTAAATGTCTATATGAGTGAGTATATACCGTGTGTGTCTTTCTGCTTCTGGGACAGTTCACTCAGGATGATCCTTTCCCTGCAGACTATCAAAGCAGATGCTGAGACTTAAGGCCAACTGTTGGGCAGAGTGGATGGAATCTTAAGTAAGAAGTGGGAAATAGTAAGCTCTGAAGAGGACAGGAACCCCACAAGGAGAGCAGCAGAACCAGAAAATTTGAACACAGGGGTCTCCCCAGGGACTCATATTCCAACCAAGGAACATGCATGGAGATAACCTAGAACCCCTGCACAGATGTAGTCCATGACAGCGTAGTATCCAAGTGGGTTCCATAGTAATGGGAAGAGGGACTGCCTCTGACGTAATCTGATTGGCCTGTTCTTTGATCACCTCCCCCTGAGGGGAGAGCAGCCCTACCAGGCCACAGAAGATGACAATGCAGCCATTCCTGATGGGATCTGATAGACTAAGATCAGAAGGAAGGAGAGGAGGACCTCCCCTATCAGTGGACTTGGGAGGGGCAAGCAAGAAGAAGGGGGAGGGAGGGCAGGGCTTATGGGGGATACAAAGTGAATAAACTGTAATTAATAATAAAAAAACCACTCTAAGCCTGTTGCAGTCAAAAAATGTTATTGCTTGATTTGTTTTCAGAAATATTACCTAAGTTACTCTTCTTTAAACAAATGATTATGAATAAACCAGATTACAGGTCAATGTTTCTTTTTAATCAATTATTACAATATATTCAATTTGTACCTCAGCTGCAGCCCCCTCCCCTCCCAATCCCACTCCCCCTTCCTCTTTTCCCTCTATGTCCTTCTTCTAGTCCACTTATAGGTGAGGTCTTCCTCTCCTTCTATCTGACCCTAGCCTATCAGGTCTCATCAGGACAGGTTACACAGTTTTCCTTTGTGGCCTGGCAAGACTGTACCCCCCAGAGGAGGTGATAAGAGAGTCAGCCACTGAGTTCATGCCAGGGAAAGTCCCTGCTCCCATTACTAGGGAACCCGCTTGGAGACTGAGTCTATAAGCTACATCTGTGCAGGGGTTTAAGGTCCTCTCCATGCATTGTCCTTGGTTGGAGTATCTGTTTCTGCAGGACCCCTAGCCCCAGATTATTTTTGGCTCTGCTGGTCTCCTTGTGGAGACCTGTCCCCTTTGGATCTTTCTATCTTCCCATTCTTTCATAAAATTCCATGCATTCTGCTATAAGTCTCAGCCTCTGCTTCGATACCTCCCCATCAGTAGTCTTTCAGAGGCCCTCTGTGCTAGGCTTCTGTCCTGTTCCCAGTCGTCTTCTGCTTCCAATGTCTATCATGTTTGCCTTTCTGAATGAGGATTGGGCATTTTCTCTAGGGTCTTCCTTATTGCTTAGCTTCTTTAGGTGTACAGATTTCACTATGTTTACCCGATATTATATGTCTAATATCCACTTATAAGTGAGTATATACCACATGTGTCTTTCTGTTCCTGGAATACCTCACTCAAGATGAACTTTTCTAGCTCCCACCACTTGCCTGCAAATTTCATGATTTCCTTGTTTTTAATAGCTGAGTAGTATTCCATTGTGTAAATGTACCACAATTTCTGCACACATTCCTCCATTGAGGAACACCTTGGTTGTTTCCAGCTTCTGGCTATTATGAATAGAGCTGCTATGAACATGGCTGAGCAAATATCCTTGCTGTGTACTTGAGCATCTTTTGGATATATGCCTAGGAGTGGTATAGCTGGATCTTGAGGAAGCACTATTCCTAATTGTCTGAGAAAGCGCCAAATTGATTTCCAAAGTGGTGTACAAGTTTACATTCCCACCAGCAATGGAGGAGGGTTCCCCTTTCTCCACATCCTCTCCAGAATGTGCTGTCACTTGGGTTTTTGATCTTAGCCATTCTGATGGGTGAAAGGTGAAATCTCAGGGTTGTTTTGATTTGCATCTCACTGATGACTAAGGATGTTGAACATTTCTTTAAGTGTTTCTCTGTTATTCAATATTCCTCTATTGAGAATTCTCTGTTTAGCTCTGTACCCCATTTTAAGTTGGATTACTTGGTTTGTTTGTATTTAACTTAAGTTGGATATTAGCCCTCTGTAAGATATAGGATTGAGGTCAATGTTTTTCATGTCACAATACATACATAAAGATGAGACATAAGGGCCATGAAAGGTTGTGTAAGGTTGCCCAAAAGTTGAAAGGATCAACACTTTGACACACAATAATTTACTACCAGTATGCAACTGAATGGAGCTGCCTCACAGCATCTACAAGCACAACTATGGGGGACATTACCAATTAAGGTAGCTGAGCTTTTAGATTTAAGTAAAAGAGGGCACAAATCTTTGGTAACAGAAGCTTGTGCAGAATTATTTTCTAGTTGGTTTTTTGAGTGTCAAAAAATAGCTCAGACTCAGCATACCAAAGATGTAGATAAATTACTGTTTATTTTTCTCTTTGTCTATTCTCTTGCCATAAAAGCAAAACTGCTTTTTAGTTTCCTCCAATTCTTTTTTTTAATTTTTGAAATTATATCATTTCCTCCTTCCTTTTCCTCCCTCTATAATCTCACATATGCTCCTCTTCCTTTCTCCTTTTCAAATTTATGATTTCTTTTTAATTGTTACATAACACATATATGTATGTGTATATATTCATTAATAAATACAACCTAATCGCTCTATATAACGTTAATTATTACATATTGTAATGTTGTAAGCATGTCTTCTGAAGATTACTTTTTAATATATCTCCTTTAAGAGTTAATACCCTCTCTCCCAGGCAACTGAAATTCTTAGTATCTTTGACCCCTTCACTTGCTTAGGCATTTATGGTATTGAGAGCACAGAGATGAATACAGTGGTATCACCCTCAGGTAGTAAAAATATATAATTTTTTAATTCTGCATTAGAATTGTTGCCATTTACTGCACAGATATTAACTCAAAGATATGTGCAGTGCTTTCTATAGTTTCTTCCACATGAGAAATGGGCCGGAAATAGATAAAATGAAATCCATGTAGAAGCACTTTCAAAAAGTTTTAGGTTTGATCCACAGGAGAAAGTAAAGAAACTGAAATTTGAGTCATTTCATTTATCTGTCTCTCTGTCCATCCATCCGTCCCTCTCTCCATTCATTCATTTTATATCTCAATCACAGGCCCCTCCCTCCTCTGATTTGAGTAATTTCTAAATAGTTGTCAATCTGAATTATTTTTCAAAAACAGAAAATTAAAGGAATGTGAAAGAGGAACTACCATGATTCAAGTATTTTGGCTTTAAAATACTATGATACTTTTAGTCCATGTAAGGAAAGACAGAATTAAAGAGGAAAATAAATTCAATTATGGACTTCAACAAGAGTCACCACTAACTTGTTTGTAAGAAAAAAAACTCCACCAAATAGTCTGTGGTTGACAAAAGAGATAATGTGTATAATAACTTTGGGTTACAGGTAGAAGTGGAAGCCAATGGAATGAAGACTACACTGACTCAGAAATGTGAATGAGAAAAAGATTGTTGATTTTAAGATGGTAAATTAGAAAACCCATCAAGCAATTACCCTCTTCTCTGAAATAATCAAAATAGTGGAGATCACCCACTTCAAAAGGTTGTGGAAAGCACTCAAGTTCAATAGTGAACAGTTGAAACTTGGAGAAACCCAAACCCTGGATAGTAACACAGAGCAAGAGTGTCTTCCACTGCAGACTGCAAAGCAGCATGGCAAAGGTCATGTCAGACATGAAAGAGGGAGAACAACTGAATGCCTCTGGCAAAGACTTTGGCATTCTACAGAAGTGCAGTCTGAATAGACAATGGCCTACAATCTGGCTAATGAAGAAATTCCTGACATTAGATACTCTTAGTTTTAGTATATAAAAACCATTCTGAGCAGGTTTTATCTAAGCTTAAACTCTGAAAAATTTTATTCCCCTATAGTTTCCTATCTATTAGCATTGTTTTTACACTGATTAAGGTTTCTGGTTGAACCTTAGTTTGGCTGTAGGGGAAGGGCTGGTTCAATATACGAAAATCCATCCCTGGAAATGGAAACCAACATATAAACAAACTGAAAAAAAAAAACAAACAAAAAACCACATCATCATCTCATTAGGTGCTAAAAAGCCCTTGACAAAATCCAACATCCAACATGTTAAAAGTACTGGAGCAATCAGAAACACAAGGAGCATGCCTAAACTCAATAAAGGCAACACACAGCAAGCCAATAGCCCAGCATCAAACTAAATGGAGAGAGACTAAGAGCAGGTCCACTAAAATCGGGGACAAGGTTGCCCATTATCTCTCAATCTATTCAATATAGTATTTGCTGAAGTTCTAGCTAGAGTAATAAGACAACTAAAAGAGAACAAGGAGATACAAACTGGGAAAGAAGTTAAAGCATCACTATTTGCAGATGATAGGATAATAAACTAAGTGACCCCCAAAACTCTACCAGAGAACTCCTAAGGTTGATAAACACTTCCAACAAAGTGGCCAGATACAAAATAAATGCAAAAAAAAAAAATCAGTAGCCCTTCTTTAAACAGGCAATAAATGAGCTGAGAAAGAAATTAGGGATACAACACCCTTCACAATAGCCACAAATATCTTTGTGTAACTCTAACCAAGCAAGCGAAAGACCTGTATGATAGAACTTCAAGTCTCTGAAGAAACAAACTGAAGAATTTATCAGAAAAGGGAAAGATCTCTCATGCTTATGGATCACTAAGATTAACATAGTAAAATGCCTATCTTACCAAAAGCAATCTACAGATTCAATGTAATTCCCAACTCATCAAATTTCCAACACAATCCTTTAAAGATCTTAAGAGAGGAATTCTTAACTTGATTTCAAAAATAAAAAACCCAGGATAGCAAAAACAATCCTGAACAATAAAAGACTTCTGGAGCTATCACTACCCCAGATTTCAAGCTGTACTACAGAGCAACAAAAATAAAAACTGCATGGTATTGGCATAAAAACAGGCTGATCAATGAAACTAGATTGAAAGCCCAGAAATAAACCTACATACCAATGGACACTTGATTTTCAACAAGGAAGCCAAAACCTAGAGAAACTTTGTTATTTGCCTCTTTACTAAACCAGTATAATTTCTAGCTGCATTCTAAATACTTATCTTACAGATGTGGCTCTCAGTCGCCACCAAAGAAGCTTCTTTATGCAGCAGGAAAAGACTATTATAGAAAGACACAACTGGTCAAACTACAGAAAACTGTCCATGGGTTTCCAGCCCCAATTGATAAATTTACAAAATAACTCCTACAACTAAGGCTCAGGAAATATTGGGGAAAAAATATTGGGGATTCTAAGAGCCAAAGGGCTGTCTGCTGTCAAGCTCTGTACATGTCAAGGAAACTATCCCCAGCAAGTTTCAACAATATAGCTGCCTAAACAAGACCTCAACAACCATCAGTTGACGTGCCAGTTTAGACGGGGTAACTCCAACAAGGCTCCACACCTAGATGTGTGCTTTTAATGACTGCTAAGAGAAGGAGAACCAATCTTCCCCCCAAAGAGCTCCTTATTAATTACCCAATCCTAAGTAGACAGCCCTAATACATACACATGTGTGTGGGGTGGTAGGAAGAGACACAATGTGTACCTAACAGTAATAAAAAAAAAAAGAGGCCTTGAATTTGAGAGTGAAGGAGGGAATGATGTAAACATAGTATGCATATATTAATTTTAATTATTTTTAAAAATAAAAATCAATCTAGAAACAAAATGTAAATAATTTAAAATCAAGGTCTTCTATTTATCATGTATATCCAAGGTTAATAATCAAATATAACTCATAAAAGAGCCACAAATACCACTATTGATAGTAGCATATATGAATCATTTTGGGTGGCCAACATAAAAATACTTTTCTATTTTGAAGAAAATCTGAGAAGAGACAGCAGTAGAAATATTATCTGCTAACTGGCTAGGTTAATATCTACTTCATATTATCAGCACGGGTAGGAACAAAGACACTTCATCTCAAATTTAAAATACAATACAATCATTAACAAATCACTTTTTAAAAATAAAAACTGACTCTAGAAACATGTAAATAATTTTAAATCAAGAGATCTGTTTATCATATATATCCAAGGTTAATAAGCAAATGACTCATAAAAGATCCTCAAGTATCACTACTGACAGTGTATACTACTTGTATGAGAGAAGTATACTACCTACAGCCTACAGGCCTACACCAACTGTGCTTTCTGTGAAAAGAACAGCCATGGAGCACCTTGCTGTCAAACCACACAACAGGAGTCCTTATATCCTATGCAAGCCAGCGCCTATCATCTACCATTATTCCCCCAATAATCAGTACACTTGGAAAATCTGTGCTTCCTGACCTCTTCCTCTTAGATGGGGAGGAAAAGAGTTCCTAGTTCTCAAAGAGAAACGTTTCATCAGACAAACGAGCATTGTCTAGACTCTTTAAGCTCTCTGTGTCAAGTGATGGACTGGCTGGGAGAAGAAGCTGCCGTCCTATGAAGGATGTGTCATTGCAGTCTCTGAATTCACAGAACCACAGATCACACAGTATGATTCCCAAGTATCTATCAGTAATTGGTATATGAACTTTCTCCCAAAGTCCAATTATCTTAAATCCTATACATTCAAAATTAAAAATAAGGCATAGTGAGATAACTATTTAGGAAACACTTATTAATTCCCAGCTACATACACACACACACACACACACACACACACACACACACACACGGGGGGGGGGGAAGAAGCTGTGATCATAATGAAAAATCAAGAATAAAAGTTGAAAAAAATAGTGAACTTTAAAGCATACTTTATATATACTTTATATATAAAGCAAAGTTTATACTTCTGCATTGGATGTATAAAGTTCTTTTAAAGAAGCAATGTAAGTATCTAAAATCAGAATATTCACATTGCTTTTACTTGGTATATCACTATGTTATTATGAGTATGTGTACATGCAGGTATGTTCTTATGTCCATACATTTGCATGTTTGTGTGTGGTTGTGCATTTGGAGGTCAGACGTCAACCTTGTTTTCTTTTTTCCAGTCTTTTTTAAAAATTATTTATTTTTTTATTTATTTCAATTTATTCACTTTGTATCTCAGCTGTAGCCCCCTCCCTCATCTCCCAATCCCACCTTCCCTCCCTCTTCTTCTCCCCTGCCCCTCCCCAGTCCACTGATAGGGGGAGGTCTCCTTGTTTTCTGAGACAGGGTTTCTTACTGAAATCTGGGACCTGGTTAATAGGCTACAGGGATTTGCCTGTCTCTGCCTCCTCAGGACTGGATTAACAAGCCAGCATTGTACATGTGTGCTGAGGGTCAAACTCAGGTCTTCATACATGACAGGCACTCTACCTACCCCTAAAGTAATTAATTAATTTTGAGACAGAGTGTCACTATGTAACCCTGGCTGGTCTTGAACTCAGAGATTCATCTTTCTCTGTCTCCTAGTGTTGGGACCAAATGCACACACTACCATGCACACCTTTGTTTTGGAGAAGGTAAATATTTACCTCTGGATTTCTTCTGGAAAGGTTGCACTGAATAAAAGGGTTTGGCGTTGTTCCTTTGATGGCATTCCTGGACAAGAAATTAACTTCTTCATCTCTGGTCCAAAACCCATATCCAACATTCGATCAGCTTCATCCAAAACCAAGTACTTGACTTGTTTGAGACCAATCTTTAAGGATATTTTCAAAGATAAGAACAGAAAATGCATACGAGTTTACATTATGCCAAAATATGCTCCACAATTTCAACTATTTAAAGTACTCTTAGGGGCTATTTATGTCAACTTGATATAAAAAGCTAGAATCATCCAAGAAGGGAGACTCAGTTGAAAAAAATTTCTTCATCAAACTGGCCTGGGGTGCATTTTCTTTTTTATTAATAATCTACATTGGAGGGCCCAGCTCACAGCATATGATGCCACCTCTCGTCTGCTGGTCCTGTGTTGCTATAATGAAGCAGAATGAGCAAGTCATAAGGAGAAAGCAAGCCAGTAACCAGCATTCCTCCACGGCCTCAGCTTCAGGTTCCTAACTCCAAATTCCTGCTATGCTTTGAGTTCCTGCCCTAATTTCCTTTAATGATGGACTGTGATATGGAACCCTTTCCTACCCAACTTAATTTTGGTCATGGTGTTTTATCACAGCAACAGAAAACCTACCTAATACATGGAAAGACAAGGCATACAATGACAACAACTGTTAGTTTCATCATAGATAATACTGATATAGCTGATCTAAACTTTTACTAATATATAAAATATTTTATAAGTTTAAAAGATCCTAAAATATATACAGTAATACTTTATCCTAGAACTTACAGAATTACTTGAATGTTCTATTATCTCCAGTGTCTAACCTATTTGGTACTAGTCATATGTAGTTTGAAACATGGATAAATGTGGAACTAATTTTTTATTTTAAAATATACATAGTCACATATAGGTAATAGTTAACTTGTATACACAGCATGAATTCGTAGTATATTATACGATGAAATAAAAATCTTTGATGTAGGAAAAAAATCTAACAACAGGAAATACTGAAAAAATATATATATATATAGGTCTCTTTAATGTAATTCTGGCTGTCCTAAAACTACAAGTGACTTTGATACTACAAAGATGGTTAGTAAAAAATCTAACATTGATTTCCTTAACTACTTTTAATAATTTTTTAAGGTACCTCTATCAAAACAACCTGTTTTAAGTACCTCCTTTAGAGAACACAAAATAATCAACTACAGTTCATTAACATGAACTCTGAGAATTAAGAGATGTAATAACTGGGTATGAGATTTTTCCCAAGTAAATATATAGCCCTAATTTTTTTCTTAAAAGACTTAGAAAATTAACAACTTTAACAAAATTAAAATTAACATTACTACCATTCACATGGTTTAATAGAAGAGGTTTCTGAAGCCCCAAAGAATGTGTCTTAGAAAAGACTAATTCACCAAAACACATACGACACTATATGAAAGTATTCATTGCATTTTCTTCCACGTAAAAAAATATTACTGGAATCGGATCCAGATTCTATCCCTAACTTATCGACTAGAGATAACTAAAGACTTTTCAAATAATCTCAGGAAGTTTTTTACCCAAGTATAATATGGGAAATACTTTGTTTTATTAGGATTATAGCGACAATTATGAAAATGAATTCAAAGCACCTGCTAGAACCAAAACATAAAATGGTGCTCTCTAGAAAATACATCTCTCATTCCTTTCCTATAAAATAACTATAGCTTACCTTTTCTTTACCTATGATATCCATCAGCCTCCCTGGAGTAGCACATAATATATTACAGCCTTGTACTATCTGTCGAATTGAATGCCCAAACTGCGTTCCCCCATATATGACAACAGCTCTTACACAAGTCCTATAGATAAGAGAAGTATCATTTTCTAGTTGTTTGGAAATTATTTGTTTCTAACATTTTACAAAACAAGATCCATAAAGAAAAAAAAAACATTCAACTACCTAAAAAATGTAAATTCTGTTGAGAAAGGAAGTTTATAATGTTGAAAGCAAATAAAACAAATAGGGAAAGACTATTTTGCACTCTATCTGATTAAAGGGCTGTTAAAAACAATGAGAAATACCACTATCCACCTTCCTCTCCAGTCACTAACTCACACAAAAGAATTACAAATGACCTTTGGTGACTTTCTCCCTTTGCTGCCTGCACAGCACTCTCTAGTACTGTCAGCTGGCCAGCAGGAAAGATGCTTCCTGGTCAGTACCAACATCCAAATACTAATATCTATCTCTAGGATATTACAAACAGTTTCGAAATTTACCAAGCACACTTTTTCTTTTTGAAAATGTTTCTCTTCTTTTATTCAATTTAAAGTCAGATATCAACACAGTACTAAGGATTATCAAGGAATAAATCCTAATCTATGTGTACCTAATTTTTACAAAAGGGCTACAGGGAGTGAGATTAAAGAGATTCTAATAATCATTTAAACTTTTATAAAAATAAAAGTCTGTGGTTTATAAACAGTACGCATTAAAAAACACTAAAATTCTGGTGGATAACCTGTAGATAACAGATGGATAATTCCTTGAAAAAGCAAGCATTCTAAAAGTAGTTCAATTTAATAATGAATATATCAAAACAGAAGATACCAATGATAGTTCTGAGCACTGACAAACTCTTCAATGCTTCATCTCTTTTTTTCCCCCTCAATGTTTGTATTAATTATCTGGAAATTTTGTACAATGTACCCCATCACACTCATTTCCCATTCCTCCCAGGTGTTTCCATCCTTGTTTCCCAATCCCCTCCCCCCAAAACCCACCAAGTCCAATTTGTGCTGCCCATATACTCATTGGGGCATGGTTGGACTCCCAGTGGCCAACCCCTTAAAGAACACTTAGTCCTTCTCCAGCCCCCTTGCCAACCCCTTAAAGAACACTTAGTCCTTCTCCAGCCCCCTTGCCAGAAGCTACATTTTATCACAGTTTTAAAGAACTATCTTCAGTAGCTTCCTGCCTAAACTTTCTTTTGGGGGGGGGTATAGGAATAAGGTTGTTACAGAAGCCTTCAATGTCTCTGATTCTCAGTTATGAGTCTCCAGTCACTGAGAGCACTGAAAAAGAAACTTCCTTGCCCATGATAGCCAGTGGCAGCACAGATCACGCGTCTCAGCATGGTTTCAACATGGACCATACACATCAACATAGGCTGCAGGGTTAGCATGAATCACAGACATCAGCATGGCCTTCAGCAGCAGCACAGACCACAGACATCAACATGGCCTCTGGCAGCAACACAAACCATGGACATCAACCTTGGTAATGCACAGACACCAGCATGGCCTCTAGCAGGAGCACAGACTTTAAGGAGACTTAATCGAGAAAATGAACCATTCTTCATCTCAGATATCTAGTCGTTCAGAGTCAGTGTGGTTGGGCAGTATGTCCAGGAGCAGGACCTGCAGGAGCTCCAGGCTGCTGTACATCACCTTGCCCTGGGCATAGGCCACCCTGCTGGCACCCTGGCACAACCATCATGTTTGCTGGCCATAGGCAGTGCCTTACCCTGAGTTCTCCTCCCAGTCGGGCAAGCAGTAAAGCAGGCAGCAGAAGCAGACTTCATGCTCCAGTCTGGGCATGCAGGTCGAGTGGCAGCACTGACTTAGTGGGCAGCAAGGTGGCATGGCAGGCTGGGTGGTGGCCCAAACCCCCAGGCAGTCTGGTACTGAACCCTGTTGTTGTCACAGCTGCAGTGTCACTAGTTACACTTCTCTTCACCATTCCATTCCATCTTTTTTCCAATTCCATGAAACTTTTTTTAGCGCTTCTTCCCATAAGCCTGCCTTTGTTTAGCTATTTTGGAGATACTGTATGCTTTGCAGGCTCATCCTCCACCTTGTGTCTCCCTGAGAAACCTCCCTGGGTCAGGCTCCTTGGAGAAGATCCCTAGCCCCACCGGTGTTGATGGCCACTACTATCTTGACTGTCCACCCCAATGCTTCATCTTTTAAATAAGGATCCTGACTGCTTTGTGTGGGCAGAGCTTTGTGTGTGCAATCTGTAGTTACACAGTGTCTCAAACGCCAAAGTGCCTTGGTGCTTGGCTTAATGCTATCTTGCAACCTGCAATAATAACTTTAGAGCAAAGGACTCAAAACTTTAATTTTATATAAGTACTGGCACATTATATAACCAGTCCTGGAAGTGGACAAGTTAATGGCATACTTCCTACAGTGTAGCAGACATATAGCATGTGATTTATGAGACTGCTATTTTATAGCAACTACTGCAGCCTCCTATTTGTTCTTTCACTGAGAACTGAATTTATAGCAAACCTGCCATTTCCTAAGGAGAATTAAGTATCTTCATGGGCAGTTTGTACTGGCTGCTTTTTTGTTTTGTTTTGTTTTGTTTTTTGGGGTTTTGTTTGTTTGTTTGACAACTTGACAAAGCTGGAGTTATCAGAGAGGAAGAAGCCCAGCACATTGTGGGTGGTCCTGGGTCCTGTAAGAAAGGAGGCTGAGCAAGCCAGAGGAATTAAGCCAGTAAAAAGTACTCCTCCCTGGCCTCTGTATCAGCTCCTGCCTCCAGGATCCTGTCCTGACTTCCTTCAGTGATGAGCACTGTTGAAGAGCAAGCCAAATAAACCCTTTCTTACCCAACTTGCTTTTTGTTGATGGTGTTTCATCACAGCAATAGAAACCCTAAGACATAGTCCAATCAACCCACTGGACCACTGCAAACTTGGCTGCTCTCTCATAACAGACTATATGCCAGGAACAGACAATGAAGCTGTTCCCCAGTCCTAAATGATTACAAAGTGTGACGTGATATTTAATGTTGTAACTAGCTAGATCAGGATATCTGACTGAATGTGAAGTTCGCTAATTTAGCTGGGCTGGCTGCCAACAAGCTCCTGGGACGCACCTGTCTCACCTCCACCCTCCAGAACTGAAATCGGCAGAGGCACAGTGTTGCACCCAGCTTTTACATGGGAACTAGGGATCTGAAGTCAGATCACGTTCACAAAACAAACACCTTCATCAACTAAGCCATCTTTCTTCATACTTCTTAAAATCTTTACACAGCAAGATATTCAGTATGTTTTTATTTACAGCATTCCAAGGAAATAAAATGCATATATAAATATAAACAAACCCGAGTTCATTAAAATCAAATTTGATTGTACAAAAGTAGTTTTCCACACTGTGAAGCCAAAAAGTAGGTAATTACCAGGGACATTCACAGTTCCTTTTGTAAACTTCTTACGTGTATGTGACTGAGCTGTAAATGTGGACTGCATGTGTGCCGTGCCAGCGGAGGTCAGAAGACGCAATTAGATTCCCCAGCACTGGAATCAGAGGTGGCCGTGACCAACACGTGTGTGCTAAGAACCAAAACCATGGTCTTCTGCAAGAGCTCAACCTCTGAGTCATCAATCCAGCCCCACCCAAGTTCTGTTTTAAACATGCATGACAAACTACCAGAAGGGTCAGTGAGATGACTGAGCAGATAAAGGCATTTGCATTTAAGTCGTATGGTCTGAATTTGATCTCTGAAACCCACACAGTAAAAGGAGAACAGACAGACACTTCCAAGTTGTCTTTGACCTCCAGGGATACATATAATAAATATTCATACATAAATGTAGAAATAACATATTAAAATATTTTAACTTCTAAAAAAGTCAGGTATAGTGGCAGACAACTGTAATCCGGTGACTTGGAATACTGGGGGAGAATTTCAATTTAAGACTAGGCTTGGCAACGTAGTAAGTTCCTCCAAAATTTTAAAGGGTGTAGCTTAGTTATAGAGTACTTGCCTAGCACAAACAAGGTGCTTTATTCATTCCTTAGTATCAGAAAAGGGAAGCTACTGAATACCAATATTTGTATTATTTTCTTACTTTACATGTTATCTAATTTGTTTCTTATAAAAATAAAGGATTCAATAAATAACATTATAAGAAAATATGTTTCATTCAACTATACTAATATTTACATGAGTCTATTACTATTGAGTTCTCAAATAATTGCGAAAACTCTCTAAGAACTACTTTTTAAGTGGCATTCCAGATATACTTACCCAAAAGAAAATTTTCTGGCTTCCAAATAAATTTGGTTGATCAATTCTCGAGTTGGTGCTACAATAATACACTCTGGTTCCTGAAGTTCTTTAAAGCGACTGGCAGTTATTCCATCCCTCATCATGTGTGCCAAAATAGGCAAGAGAAAAGCTGCCTAGAAGTTAAATTAATTAATTTACAATGTATAATTTTGTCACTACCAAAAGCTAATCCTACTTTATAGCCCTTAAGATCCCCTTCCATCTTGCTCATAGATTTCTGAGAACTTAGCATAACTTTTATTACAAGGAGCTACCCAAATCTTCATAGTCATGTTATTGAACATAACATGTTTGACAAAATTAATCTAGCTCAACAAAACATGTCTTTTAAGAAAATAAACATATCTATGTATCCTAAACAGTAGCATTAATTATAAAGAAGAATGTAGGTATAATTTCACGTGAATTACTACATTTAAAAAGTTAACGTGGGTTTTTAAAGGAGCAGTAATAAAATTATCACAGGAATTAGTAATAATATTATTATAAGCTTCAGGCAGAATACAAAGCTGAAAACCATAATTTGGATTATACACATGTTTCCTTGAGGCACATACAAACAGAAATTCTTAATGAAATATTTTCAAATCTAGTCCAAGAATATCTTAAGAGGACATGCCATTACCAAGTTCACTTCACCACAAGAATACAATGTTTGTTTAACATAGAAAAGTCCATAAATATCTAGAGTAAATCTAAACAAGGTCTACAGTTAGAGCTCCAAAATACTGAAAAGAGATTGTCAGGGACTTGTGGAACATTTACAAATGGATGAGTTACCTAAAATACTTAAAGAGTAAACACAATTCCCATCAAAATTTCAATGACATTCTCCACACAACTAGAAAAAAATCTTAAAATGTATATACAGAAGATCTCTAATAGCCAATGCACTCAATTAGAACAATGCTTGCAGCAACATAACACCTGTTCTCTAACACACACCATCTATAAAGTGCTGATACCAAAGCAGACATGTAGTCGTCGTAACAAAGTGCATATAGTACTGACAAAGAGCAGACATGTAAACCAATGCTAGAACAGAAGACAGAAATAAATCCACATACCGTGCTGCCTACAAAGAAGTCAAAGCATACGTTAGAAAAGAAGACAGGCTATTTGAACAAATAATATTGGAGAAACTCGATATCCACATGCAGAAGAATAAAACTAAATCTACTGGATCTCACCCTGCACAAAAATGAGTTAGAAAAGAATCCAAGTCTCTAATGAAAAACCTGAAACTTTGAAACTGTTAGATGTAAAAATAGATAAAACACACTTCAAGATACAAGTATAGGCAAGGATTTTTCTTTCTTCTCTCTTTCTCTCTCTCTCTCTTTTTAAGATTCTGGTAATATGATCAATCCTCACTCAGAAAGACAAATGGGATGGGCATAGGAAGTAGGAGAAAACAGCAAACAGGACAGGAGCTTACCACAGAGGGCCTCTGAAAGACTCTACCCAGCAGGGTATCAAAGCAGATGCTAAGGCTCATAATCAAACTTTGGGCAGAGTGCAGGGAATCTTATGGAAGAAGAGAATGATAGTAAGACCTGGAGGGGACAGGAGCTCCACAGGAGAGCAACAAAACCAAAATATCTGGGCCAGGGATCTTTTCTGAGACTGATACTCCAACCAAGGACCATTCATGGAGATAACCTAGAACCCCTGCACAGATGTAGACCATGGCAGCTCAGTATCCAAGTGAGTTTCCTAGTAAGGGGAATAGGGACTGTCTCTGACATGAACTCAGTGGCTGGCTCTTTGATCACCTCTTCCTGAGGGGGTAGCAGCCTTGCCAGGCCACAGAAGAGAACAATGCAGCCAGTCCTGATGAGACCTGATAAGCTAGGGTCAGATGGAAGGGGAAAAGGACCTCCCCTATCAGTGGACTTGGAGAGGGGTATGGGAGGAGATGAGCAAGGGAGGGATGGAATGGGAGGGATTAGGGATGGGGCTCCAGCTGGGATACAAAATGAATACACTGTAATTAATATAAAAATTTTAATTAAAAAAACTTAGCCAAAAAAAAAAAAAGATTCTGGTAATATAGAAAACAACCCCAAGAACTGACACCCAAGACAGCTACTAATGAGACTACATGAAGTTACCAGGCTTCTGTACAGCCTACAGAACAAAGAAAAACAACGTTTGCCAGATATATACTATTATATAGACAGACTATTATCCAGAAGGTAAGAACTTCAAATTTTAAGTAACTTCTAAAAGCTTCCATCAATAAATGGGCAATAAACTGAATCAATCATCTCCCAAAGAATAAAAATGGCTAATAAACTTAGAAAGTATTTGTTCAATATCCTTACCCAGAGAGACACAAATTAAAATCACTTTCAAATTTCATCTCATCCCAGCGGGGATGGCTATCAAATGACTCTTATATACTAACTAGTGACAGTGTGAGCTGGTGGCATCACTATGGAAATGAAATATAGACATTTCTACAAAAAGAAAAGAGAGAGAGAGAGAGAGAGAGAGAGAGAGAGAGAGAGAGAAAGGAAGATGACTTACAGTCTTTCCAGACCCTGTTTGAGCACAAGCCATCAAGTCTCGTCCTGCTAATACAATAGGAATGCTGTATTTCTGCACAGGCGTAAGCTTAGTATAGCCAGCTTTAGCAATGTTGTTATTCAATGTCTGACAGAGATTAGCTTCTTCAAAAGTCTAAACAGGTAAAGAAGTCAGTAATTAAATGATAAACTGCACACAGCATATGCTTATCATTTCATAAACATATTCCATGTTTTAAATTTTGATTCCACTTTACATACCAATATACCCCACTATAAATAAACAAGAACCTATTTTCATGACATGGTGGAAGTACTTCCCATAAACATTGCTTGTAAATACTTTTTTTTTTTGCTCCCTTAAACCCTATGAGAGAGAAAAAACCTCTGATAAGTAAAAAGGCTCATTGTGAAGATAAGAATAGAAGGCTTCTGCCATTCTCCTTACAAAAATCTACTTACCATGGCTAGAGAGCTGGCCCAGCAGGTAAGAGCACTGGCTGCTTTTCCAAAGGATTTGAGTTCAATTCCTAGAACCCACATAGAGGCTTACAACCATCTGTAATTACAGTTCTAGGGACTCTGATGCCCCCATCACCACAGCCACTAGGCAGGCACATAATGGACAGACATTATATCCAGGCAAAACAGCCATATATATAAGAACAAATTCCTAAGACCTACTTTTTTTCACATAATTAGGATGTGAACATTTGAATCTCTAGAAAAAGTAGCCTTTTCGCTAAATTTAAACAAATTTCTAATATGGTATGGGGAGTATTCCAGCACTCTCTCTTTTGATATGGCAATCCTACTGAAACTGGTAGACAATGCCTCTCAATTTTCATTAAAGAATTCTAAACACTAAAAGGTAACTTTAATATTTATAGCAATTGAATTATACCATATATTTATATCAACATAGAAATAATACACTGACCAAAATTGCTGGTGGTGCATCATGTCCAGATACTTCTACAAGAATGGTGTCATATTTATCAAAGTTTATGCCTGTCTGATAATGTGCAAAGATGGCATCTTCATCCTCTGGTGGAGGAGGTGGTATATATGTCACTTTTGGACCTTGGAATATAAATAAAAAACATCTTTTACAGACTAGAAGTACAAAAAAGAAAATTACAAAAACTGACAAAAACCAAATAGAAAACACTGTTGAATACTACTAAAATTTTCATTTTGCAAATGTTTTTAATTTAACCACTAACCAAATGTTTTAATTTAATGTTTTTAAATTAACTTTTAAATATTTTTAACCTTAGGGAAATGCAACATATAGTCAATTAGAGAATGCAAATGTCATGTACCCTGAATATCACTGCTTTCTCCTCCTTCAGCTTCTGACTTCCAAGAATCTTAAAGGGAATAAAACCAAAAAGATAAATGTTAATTGAGAAATAAACAGTACTATAAAGATCAAAGCTTTTTCCAAAAAAAAAAAAAAACTTACTCTTTCCAGAGCCTGTTACTACTTCTTCATTTAAACCTTTGTAACCACCTATTAAAGAAATTCAGAGTGGTAATTAAAACACAAAGCTGTGAAAGTCTTCACTTTCACTATCTTCAAAGAGGACAAGTCTTAAATTAGTTGAGAATTGAACACAGGACTTCTGGAAGAGTAGCCAGTGCTCTTAACCTCTGAGCCATCTCTCCAGCCCTTAAAGTCATTTCTTACAAGTGTGTAAGAAATGGTGTGTGAACTGTAGGCACAGTTCAGTGCTAAAAGTGTTCCTCTGATGTGTGCAAGTTCCTAGCTTTGTAGATCCCCAGCATGAGAAAAAAGAAGGAAGAGAAAGAAGAAGAAGAAGAAGAAGAAGAAGAAGAAGAAGAAGAAGAAGAAGAAGAAGAAGAAGAAGAAAAAGAAGAAGAAGAAGGGAAAATGGGGAGAAAGGTAGCCAGAGAGAATCTTACACAGTTTAAAGTTATTCAGTATTCAACATGATGGTTGAATATAGATGATAGACTGAAGTACTGCTTAAGCTCTGAAATCCTTTCCCTGGTCATCAGGAAAGGAAACTAACACTGTGTTGGGAAGTGCCTAAGACCATCCCCCAGCCCGAAGGATCTGCTGGGAGAACTCTCAGATTATAGCCATAATCATAGCTATAACATACTGAAGTGAATTACCAAAGCACACACTCAGCCAAGGAAAGAGAAACATGGGTCAAGTTCCCCAGAGTCTTCTCTATTGGTGTTAAGAGTCTTGACAACACAAGTATTTATCAGAGCAGTAGTTCAGAGATTCATCCAGCATCCTCACTAGGGAGTTAGTAACTTATGTACCTCCAGACCCTCACAGAAAAAGCCAAGTATGGCAAGTATTTAGTATAAACCATTGTGTGTGAGTGTGAGAGAGTGTGTGTGTATGTGGATATATGTTTTTTTCAAGAGAGGGTTTTCCAGTGTAGTTTTGGCTGTCCTAGACTCACTTTGTAGACCAGGCTGATCTCGAACTCACAGAGATCCACCTGCCTCTGCCTCCCTGAGTGTTGGGATTAAAGACATGTGCCATCATGCCAGCTAATGATTTATTCTTATCAATTAGAAGAATAGAAACCTTTCCCAATTCCAAGTTCTCAGAAGTTAGCTAAGTTAGCTTAGCAATCAACCTGACTAGATTAAGGAAGGGATGCAGAGCCTTGGTTCCATTCTTACTGATAGGACAAAAGACAGCCGGAGGAAGAGAGGATTCATTTTGGCTCAGCTTTACGTACAGTTCATTGTGGCTAGGAAGTCAAGGCAGCAGGAGCTTGAGGAAGATGGTCACACTGCAATAGCAGTGAGGGACTGGAGAGCAATGAATGCTGGTGCCACAGCAAACTGCTTTTTCTTCAGTCTAGGATCCCAGCCTACGGCACAGTGCTGCACATACTCAGGACCTCCATTAACCTAGTCTAGAAAATTCCTCACAGACATACTGTAAGTTTGAATCCCAGGTGATTATGAATCTTGTCAAGCTGACATTATCATAAGTTTATCCTTGTCAACTTGACATTTAAATATATCACCTTTGAGCTATCTTTTATCCTTTGTCCCCAGATTCATAGCCAACTCATATTGCAAATGCTTTCAGCCACACTTCAAATATCCCCATAGGCTTCAACAACTCCTGGATATTTCTGATTCTCCTTCAGTCAAGCTATAAACATCTGTGGATGATCTGATTTAACTGGATTTTAACAAACTTTTTTTCTATATTGAAGAATGTAAGAAGCCAGGGGCAAACTGCGACTTTGAATGCTTTCAGACTAATGATTAACAAAAATCAAACAAACTTTATTGGTCTACAAAGTAGACAAAGTATTTTAAGTTTCATACATTACTTTGATATTTATGCTCTGGGGAGAAAACTTGTTAAGAGTAAAAAAAAAAGTCACATTTATATAACAGTTCACTGTTATCTTTCCTTTATTTTTAGATCATGAAATGAAAAGTATATTTTAATAATATAAGCAAATATCTCAATATTTAGTATTAGTATAATATCCCATTTTATGGTTATACTAACTATTTATTGATGAATTTTAGGTGATTTTCAGGTTTTACTTATTATAAAGAAAACTCAGTAAGTATTCACACGCATGTGTTTACAAATACTTCTATCATATATACGTCTTACAATGGAACTGCCAAATCAGAAAGAAAATAACCTGAAGGAACTCAAATAGGCCATGTAAAATTCCTAATTATTAGCTGTATAAAAACAATGACAGTTACCTTTATCCTAAAGAAAATAAACTTAGATCACAACCAATTTAAGGTGACAGAAGTCAGGTGAGAACTTACCTCGCCCAGTTCCACTTCTTTGGTAAGTGTCACCATTGCCTGTAAGACATTGCATTGCAACACATGTAGACAAACACCTCCCTGCTCCCCCAGCCTCAGACACACAAGGAGCAGGACTGTATTCGACAGTCATTCACTACAGTTCCTAGCCCCTTTCATTTTTCATTTTGTAGAATTCTTTTAAACCTTACCTTTTCTAACATTTTCACTTGTAATTATGTTCTTTTTCCCATTTCACCTCAAATCATCTTCCCCTATTCCTCAGAAACTTTGAAACCAATGCAAGCCTTTTTTTCCTTCTTCTAATTAAAAGTATCTACTCACCTCTTAGCCGCTCAGAAAAATTAATTCATAGTACACCAGTTTTCTAAGAGAGGCAAAACTACCCATTTATTTTTGCCTACTTAACAAAGAAATGGGGGAAATTGTGAGCTAGCTTTAGTATACTTAAACATACCCTCTTGCTAAAAGCATAAAAACATGAATATTAGTCCTCAGCAATAGTTTCATTTCTCACCTGAATCACTTGCTACTGGCTTCCTAGAACCAAAAAGGCCACCACCACGCTGTGTCCCCTGATCTTGGTCATATTCACTATCTTTATTTGAAAGAAAGAGAATTCAATTATGTTTCTTTTAACAAGGTTTTACAATCATTTAGCAAAAAGTCCAAGTCACAGCATTATAGGTTAAAAGATGTATAAAATAGCATAAGAATCACAATGTGTATTTTCTAAGTGTTACAAAAAGGATTTCTCTACAAATTATATGCTTCAATTACAAATAACTTCCTCAAAAAATTAATGTTATTTCATGAATAAGTTAGGGTCAATGCTATATTTAAACAAAAATCTCCACCCCCAGATGGCAATTTTATTGAGCCAAGAAAGCACACTGCATCATTTCACTGCTTATACACCAAAACATCATCCCTGCTCCTATTGTTGCCAAATCTAACATTATTGGTCCTGTCCTGTAAAGACCCTTTGGAGGCCCTTACTTTTTTTTAAGGGCAGTTTATTCAATCTTATAATTTGTTTAATGAGTATTACAAATGTATCACTGTCAGTTTGTAAAATCATGAATGTGCTCTCTATTAAGAAACATATCTATTCCAACAGTGACTTCTGAAAAATAATACTTTCTTTCTAGAAAATGTCAGCTATAGGATTTAAAGTAGAAAGCCATGTTGGTGAAAGAATGTATGAAGGGGAGAGCCAAATAGAAAACCACTTATTTATAAGGTCAGCCTTAGTTCGCAGGCTCCAAAACACCTAATAATATATAATGTTTTATAAAGACTTGGTAACAGAAACTTCTGAACTGTGTGTTCCAATTTAATATTCAGTTACCCATGTTTTTAAAATTGACACATGAAACGGGTGATTAATTTGTATCTGATACTCTACTAAAATATTAATACAATCCTCATAGCGATTTTGTGCAAATAGGGTTTTTAAAAATCATTTCCAACAAATGAAGTGCATCTTATGCAATCCACTACTAACTTGGTCTTCCTAGACCAAATCCTCCACGGCAACCTCGGAAACTACCTCTTCCACCTCTTCTGAATGGCCCTGATGCTTCTGAGTCATTCCCATCTTGATAGCCTAGATTAAAACACACACAAGAACAGTACAAATAACAACAACAAAGGAATCTTGGAGACATGGTAACAAAATTTAACATTTGCATAATTTAAATGGTTTTAAACTTAAAGAGTTAACAGAGCTAAATTTTCAAAAGTCACAACTGTCCTATAAATGTTCTGCTTTACCAATATATTGTTAGGACCAGAAAAAAAGACACTGCTTGAAGACTCAAAATCAAGTAAAGCAGCATGTCGCCTGAATAGAACAAGTAAATCGTCACAACTGCACCATGAGCTGGATTTCTACTGCAGCATTAAATCTGGATAATTCGTAAATCCCAGTGTGTTTTAGTCCCATTTCCCTCAGAATCTAGAAATGAGCAAACCAGAAAACTCGTAAGAATGTAGACTTGTATACCAGCTAGCATGTAATAACTTTGTTTGGAATCACAGATCCTAAAATTATAAACTAGATGCTTTCTCAGCATACCACCAAGGTTTGACTTTTACTGCTGATCTATGCTTTTACTGTACTTTCAACTTTTATTGTATTTTATATAATAAGGGAAACTGTCTATAACATAAATTCTATAGCATATTTTTTGAGTTTACTTTCTGGTCTTACTAAATGAGCAATATGCACGTACTTTCAATGTATGCTGAGAAAGCATGTAGTTTATAATTTTATGATCTATGATTCCAAACAGAAAATTTATATGAAGCTTGCTAGCTAGTATATAAACCTACATTCTTAGTGGTTTCTGGCTTGCACATTCCTAATTTCTGAGGAAAATGGGACTAAAACATACTATAATTTACAAATTAATTCCTTACAATAAGTTCACTCTTACTACTCTACATTAAATTATATTTTGTTTCCTAACTCTCTATCAGCTATATCTGGGATGACATTATCTTTCTCTTTTCAATTCATCAATGAATATATTTACCGATATTATGATTACTAATACATGAATTTTTATTTCTACCACCTTATGGTATTTTTTGTCTTCACTTTTCTTCAGTTTTGTTGTTCTCTTTAGTGTTCTAATTAATTCATGAACAGCTGTGGAAATGCTTTTCAAAAATCAATCGTTTATTTACAAATGCAAAATGCATAACATACCTTCCTTGTAAAATTCAGTGTCTTTGGAATCTGGTATTTCAGCTGATGATTAAGTGGGAGGTTAGACTTTTTAATTAAATTATATAATTTTCCCTTTCCTCTTCCTCACTCTAATTCTTCCTATGTACTCCTGCCCTTACTCCTTCTCAAAATCATAGCTGCTTTTTATTTAATTACATGCATGTGCCTAAATACATAAATACAAACTGCATAGTCTGTTTAGTGTTGTTTGTATGTATACGAAATTAGGGTTGACCGATTAGTACTGGCTTACCAGTTGGGGGTGGTCATCCTTGGAGAAAACGTTCTCCCTCTCTCAGCATTAGTTCAGAAAATATTTAAATTATTTTCTTTCTTTTTTTTTAATCTTTTTTTATTTTTTATTAATTACAGTTTATTCACTTTGTATCCCCCCCCCTTAAGCCCCTCCCTCCTCCCCTCCCAGCTCCACCCTCCCTTCTCCTTCTTCTCGCTTGTCCCTCCCAAGTCCACTGATAGGGGAGGTCCTCCTTTCCCTCCTTCTGATCTTAGTCTATCAGGTCCCATCAGGAGTGGCTGCATTGTCTTCTTCTGTGGCCTGGTAGGGCTGCTCCCCTCTGTAGCCTTGTTCCTACAGAGATCTGACTCCTACCATATTTTCTCACTGGTAAAGCATACACTCTATTTTGTCCTTTCTCTGATTATCCTTCAATTTTACCCACAGACAACTTTTAGCTGGGTGTGGTAGTACACACCTTTAACCCAAGCACTGAGGAGGCAGAGGCAGAGGCAGAGGCAGGCAGGTCTCTGTGAGTTTGAGGCCAGCCGGATCTACAAAGTGAGTTCCAGGGCAGCCAGGACTGTTACACAAAGAAACCATGCCTCGGGGGGAAGAAAAAAAAAAAAAAAAGACAACCTTCAGTTTCAGTTTATTTTCCTTTCAATGTAGCAATGAACTTAAAATTTTCACTAGCTTGTATTTCAGTTCTTTAGTATTTAAAACACCCTTAGCCAGTATTTGTTTCACTAATAAATTTACCAATTTCATATTTCTTGCCTTACCAATGGTTTGATTGGACTTTCTTAGTATGTGTGACACTGCATGCATGCCACAGCACTCATGCAAGTCATAAAACAACTTGCCAGTTGATTCTATTCTTCTACCATGTGGGTCCCACAGACTAACTCCGGTCATCAGCCTTGGCAGCCACATGCGCTTACCCAAGCTTTCCTCTCATTAGCACTCGTCACTGATGCTTACCTCCTCCCTTGTCTTGTGTTCAGTTGTCTTCTTCCGTCTTTGATTTTGTAGTTAATTCTATAACACGTTGGGAGCTTTAAACACTTTTTATTTGAATGGCATCATTTCTCACTGGCTCCTAAATATCTGAATACAGCAGTTTGGATTCAAAGCTACTCCCCACTCAGCACTCTGAATATATTCTTTACTGTAGCCTAATTACTTTTATGTAAGAAAATTCTGTTGTCAAGATATTGTTCTGTTGCAAATGAATCTCATCCCCTGCCCTTTGAAACAGTTTGATTTCAATATATGCATGAGGGTAGGAATGTTTTTATTTAATTTGCTCAGAACTTTTGTGACTAACTGGAAGTCTCATCTGCTCTTTCTGAATAGTATTCTTTCCTGTTTGGCTTTCCATTGTTTTCTCTTAGAAGATATTTACGCATATGCTGGGCAAGCAAACATTCTTACTCTGTTTCCAACCAGTTAACTGCATAGTTTTACATTTCCATTATAATTTCCTCAGCTCTATTTTGACTCATTTTTGATTAACTTATCCATTATTCTTTAGAACTTTAGTCATGCAATCATTTGCTGTAAGTACATGCTGGGTCCCCAAATCTATCCCCCCTATGCTTTAGCACCTTTAGTATCTTTAAGCTTATGTCTCCACCTAGATTAGAAACAAGCATTTAAAGAAATATACTCTTTTCCTCCAGAATACACTCCTTTCATGCCAGTTCCAACTTATATTAGACTATTAACTAGAGGGGGAAGTAACCATGGGTGCTTTGCCCATGCTGAAGGCATAAACTCTCTGGTCCTATAATCTTAACAATTACCTGTTAAAACATATAGGTTGAACGAAAGAGCAAAAGACAAAATTAACAATAAATCAAACAGACCCATACTTTCTTGAAGATGTAAACTAAGAAAGGATTTCCCTATGTATTCCAGGCCATCCTTGAGCTCACTATATAACTCAAACGAGCCTCGAATCTGCAGTAATCCTTTGCCTCAGCCTACAGATGTGAACCATAACACCCAGCAAATCCATACTTTCAATAGAAAAGAATATCAAAATATAATGAATTAGTGAAGTGAATACACATTATATTAACTTTTAATCAAAATATGGACAATTAAAATATAAGCCAGCATCAACCAGTCAAGGGAAGATAAATATATATATAAATATAATATATATATAAATATAATATATATATTAAAGTAGAACTTTATATATAAAAACTTATATAAAGTAGAACTTTATAAAGTTCTACTTTATATATATATATATATACTTTATATATTTATATATATATATAAAGTAGAACTTTATATATACTTTATATATATATAAAGTAGAATATATAAAATACTTTATATATATATATAAAGTAGAATATATAAATATATATATATATATATATATAAAGTAGAACCATCCTTTGCCATCCCATAATTCTACGTTTTTCCAGGTTTTGAAAGAAATTCAGTAAAATGTGCTTGCTAAACCTAGGTATCCATACACAAGTGTTTATAACAGAGTACTCCTTACTTTTCTGAGTCATTAAAATACTTTTTTTTACCTTTACAATTCTTATTTTAATTCTCGTATTGTGTAAATGACACAGAGTGTAAATAAGCAGCTTGCACCTTATTCAGGCTTAGTGAAAATTATGTTCCACTTCATAATATTAAGAATTGCTATAGTTTTATAATATAGTTTTGTTTATCTGTGGTATCTAATATTTTAGGTTTTTACTTAATCATTTTTTCTTTATCTTATTTTTTTATTATTAGTTACATTTTATTAACAATGTATCCCAGCTGTATTCCGTTCCCTCATTCCCTCCCAAACACTCCCTCCCTCCCTCATCTCCTCCCTGCCCCTTTCCAAGTCCACTGATTGGGGAGGACCTCCTCCCCTTTCATCTGACCCTGTTTTACCAGGTATCTTCAGGACTGGCTGTAAAGTCCTCCTCTGTGGCCTAGCAGGACTGCTCCTCCCTTGGGGGATGGGGAGGTCAAAGAGCCTGCCATTGAGTTCCTGTCAGAAATAGTCCCTGTTCCCCTTACTATGGGAAACCAATTGGTTACTGAGCTACCATGGGCTTCATCTGAGCAGAAGTTCTAGGTTATATCCACACATGGTCCTTGGTGGACTGTCAGTCTCAGAAAAGACCCCTGTGCTCAGATATATTTGGTCCTTGTGGAGCTCCTATCCTTTCCACGTGATACAAACTCCCTCTTCTTTCATATGATTCCCTGCACTCTGCCAAAGGTTTGGTTATGAGTCTTAGTATCTGCTTTAATACACTGCTAGGTAGAGTCTTTCAGGGGCCCTCTGTGGTAGGCTCCTGTCCTGTTTCTTGTTTTCTCCTACGTCCAATGCACCAAAATATTTTAAAATTAGCTACTTTTAGTGTCGCTTCTTAAAGTAACATTATCATCTGGGGAGAGCAATGCTAGGAAATCACACTCGGGCCTTATGCATATACTCTACCACTGAGCTATACCTACAGCTCAGACAGTAACATTCTAGAGGGAAAACAGAGTCTTGAATTTGAAGATAAGAAGGGATATGGTCTATATTTCATAAGCATCAGTTTCTGATAATATCTGGCAACAATCTTCAGAAAGGAATAACATTGTTCCATGTTCTAGAATTAGCCAAATTGTACAATAGAGTGAACATATTGAAATCAACTGGTTAAGTATATAAAATATGAAGTATTAATTCAATGAAAAATGGTATGCATCACCAAGTATCAAGATCTCAAATGTAGAAAGTGTTTAAGGACTTCATAATGAAAGCCAAAAAACTGTGACTAGAAAAACACAGGAGCTTGTACAGTAAACACTGTTATCCACTGAGCTACCTTTTCTGCTTTTGACTCCTACTTTATATATAAAAAAAAAATAAATGCAAACCAAAAAGTATAGTGAGGTTCAATAACAGTTCAGTAGAACCATTCAAATGAAAAGGGAAAGTGCAAATCATATAGATTTGAGAGAATATATCTTAGTATTATTAACTCTGTGAAATGTTTTATAATAACTTTTAGAGATAAAACTACCCATAGCCTATTAATTAGCAATTCTATTCCCAGTACCAATAATACAACACTAGAACTTCACAACATCACTTCCATAGTAGCCCAAACTGAAAACAACTCCAATACTTGTTATTAGAAAGAAAAAAAGAATACTCTCCAGCAATGTTAATGATCGAAGGAGTAATAACATGAATGGCTCTTATAACATATTTAACGGAAGCAAAAAACAAAACAGCATCTCCTGTATTAGTTCCTTTGTATCAAGCAGAAAAATAGACAAAATTATCCTTTTAGAAGTCAAAATAAAATTAACCTACAGGATGCCATTGTCAGTGAGTAAAGATGAATATGAAAGGTGGGTTTTTCTGAGGTGCTAGTAATTTCTATTTCTTAACCTAGATGTGGTGAGTAAATTTAGGTGTTCAGGGTTTTTTTGTTTGTTTGTTTTGTTTTGTTTTTAAGTATTGAGCTACCTCACAATGGTGTATTCTCTCATACCACAAAAAAGCACACATACACACATATTCGCCAAGTGGCTATGTGCTAGCTTCCTACTTTTAAAATGTGTGTGTGTCTACAAAGAACAGGAATCAAGAATACACTAGAAAATGTCTATACCCCAGCTAATCATCCCATACTGCTTGTAAGTCAGAAATAAAAACATACTGCTCCAAATGACTTCCGATTTCCTCATTTAAATATAAATTAATCAGACTTAGTAATAGTAACACAAAGACATTCACCATTCTCCAGAAAACAATCAGAATATTTAAAATATAATAATCTTTTCCACACATTTGTCATCAAAAACCTGGTTGTAAGAAACAGAAGGAAGCTGGGCGATGGTGCACACTTTTAATCCCAGCACTCAGGAGGCAGAGAGGCAGGTGGATCTCTGTGAGTAGACGTCAACCTAGTCTACAAAGTGAGTTCCAGGACAGAGAAACTCTGTCTCAAAGAACCAAGAAGAGAGAGAGAGAGAGAAGAGGAGGAGGAGGAAGAGGTGAAGAAGGAAGAAGAAGAGAAGAAAAATAGAGGAGCAGGAAGAATGGGGGAGGAAGGAAAAGAGGAAGACGAGAGGTGGGGAAAGAGAAAGAAACAGAAGGAAGAGAAGCAAGGCTAGGGATGTAGTCAGTGGGGGGTAACCTAGAGGGTACAACAGGCCCTGGGTTTGATGACTAGCATTGTTTTTTTAAAAAAAGAATCAATGCTAAAAGATGTGTTTATTTTCATTTTTTTCTCCACTTTTACACCTTTGCAAAATTATAAGGCTTAATTTGGGAGACAGCCTTTCTTCAATCTGAAATTGAGTGATTAGCTTCACTAGTGAAGGAAGGAGAGCCTTCTGTTCAGACAGTAAGTTATCTATTTCAAGGGCTAAAGAAAGCATGCTCCCAAGTCATAGCATCATGACATTCCAAACAGAAAAGCCTTTATCACAGATGTGCATAGGTGAGTACTCATTCTATCCTAAGTTCACTGGGTTGTTTTTTAAGGTATTGCTGCTGCTTTTTTAACATGTCTGTCTATATATTCAAGAAGTATGAATGTACCATCTCACCTCAAATTTGTTAGTGGTAGAATTAACAAGGCATGGTGAACTATCCCGAGACTTTGAACAACAAAAAAATTATAATGTATTTGCAATTTCTTGCCTCTCCCAAATTTCCAACGACCTTTTTCAGAGACAAATACATTCTCAGTTCATCTAAATTGTAAATGACAAGACACTAAAAATTCCTCTTTCATAAATTATGGCATTTTTGAGGTCCTAGGGAAAAACCAGATAACCAATGACATCAGAGGAGGACGGGTAGATGAGGTGGACCTAGTATGCTCCAGTATTAGAAGCAGGAAGCATATAACAACATATTTTTCTTAAAGGTTTTCATTACTTTTCTTTCAGTCCTTCTACAGTCAGTTTTGTCAGTTTATTTTTGTCTTACGAACAAATTGTTCAAAGAATTGTCCTTACCGCCTCTCTTGGAAAAACCTCTGTTCCGAGTCTGATTCTCTTCACAGTCATTATTAGACTCTTAAATAGAAATGCAACATATGAATAGCATCTAGGTAACTTTAACAATGAAAGAGCTAAGAGCACAACTGCAATAGGAACATTTTTCAGGTTGAAACATAAACATTGTAATTCTTAAAATAATTTTAACAGAAACATAAAAACATTGTTCAGGGTAAACTGTCTATATAGAATAGCTTTTTAAAATGTCATCATTTCTTTTTCAATAATTTGCCATTCTTAACGCTAGAGAGTGGTGCTTTCCTAAATCCATGCAAAGTTTTTCTCATTTTTCCTAATTAAGTAACTCAATTACTCAATGGCCTTTCTGTTTTAATGACATTACAAGTACACTTCAGGGGCTTCTCTGAACAGTGTATGAGGATCAACCACTACACTGATGGATATGCAAATGAACTCGGTGAAAATAAACACCTAAGCTCCTTTCCCAGAGTTTATTCTCCAACTGCTGCGTGAGAACAAGGAATGTGCAATTTTTTAAACCTTAAAACTTTTATGTTATTAATGTAACTCTTAGCACTCCAAAGGTTCTAAAAAATTGTATTTGCGTAGTTTCAAGGTATCTTATACATGTCACTGATGTCCGGTATTCAAGAACTTTAAATGAAGAGCAATGATGTCAAGTGACCTAACAGCTTATAGGCTATCACCTAAACTCCTGCACAAAGTAACCATCTAATTAATAAGTTGTTTTATATTTAAAAAATGATCCTGAAAAAACAAACAAACAAATGATCCTGATACCTACATGAAGGCCTCTCCTTGACTATTTGAGCTTTAGTAGTTAGCATATTTTTATAATGTTTTAATTGATTCTTTGGGGATTTCATATTACACACCCCTACCACATTCACTTCCGAGTCCTTCCCTTGTCCCCAATACCCTTTTTACCTATCCCCTCAGGAAAAAAAAATTCAGTTTGTGTTATCTATATATTCACCAGGGTATGGTCAAACTCTCAGTGGCTGGCTCCCTAAATGGAGGCGAGTCCTTTCCCTCCTGTTCCCCCGCTGGAAGTCATCTACTGTCGAGGTTGATACTCCAGCATCCTATGACAATTTTTAAGAGTTCTCTCTGAATGGCTTCCTGTCTAGGCTGTTACTATTTGTTGGGGGAGGGCCAGGGGTTGAGGTAAGGGTTGTCATAGAAGCCTTCCATGTGCCTCTTTCTCAACTGTGCATCTGCAGTCATCAGCATCACTGTGAAAGTAGCTTATTTGGTCTAATAATGAATTCATTATTAGATGAATTATGGACTTCCACATGGTTCTGGTATCAGCACACACCACAAACAGAGCTCCCCTTTGCAGCAGGGCCACAGACCAGGATAAGGTCTTCAGATGCAGTCAGCATATATTCTCAGAGTCATCTAACACAGCTTTCTCAAAAAGAAGATTTAAGAAAGATAACTGAGAAAGAAAGGGCTTTTAGAAAGACTGACTCTGAAATAATGAATGAGCTAACACATACTGCCTTTGAGGAAAATAGACTCTAGATCACCTTAGTGCCTGGCAAACCGAAAGACGTCTTGCACTACCTTTGGTCAATTATTCCCCTAAAGCAAACATGTAAATATTTTGATCACTTTAAGAAGTAAAATAGAATAAATGCCATTAGGTGAATTTGGATGAAAACTAAGTCTATACTATTTTTGTAATTTCTTGTGAATTAACTGTTTAGAAAAAAGTTTAAAATAAAAGTGATCTTTGTGGATCTAGACGATAATAAAGCCAAGCACAAATGGAAATTAAGTATAATTAAATACTTACAACATATGAATTGCATGGTATAAAAATGATGTCATGTATAACCTGGTACTATTCTAAAGGGATATTTAAAATTAATAATTAATTAATTCTAAATTCTTTTTTTGCCTCTTTCCTATTACTTAGAAACAGAGTCTAAATACATTTGCCATGATAGTCTTAAACTTCTATGCGTAAGTAATATTCCTATCTTTTTGTTTTGCTGGGTTTTTTTGTTTGTTTGTTTTTTGTTTTTTTGTTGTTGCTTAAACTGTCCTGGAACTCTCTATGTGAACCATGCTGGCCTTAAAACAAAAAGAAATCCACCTACCGCTGCCTCTCAATTGCTGGGATTAAAGGGATGAGCCACTATGCCTGGCCTGATTATCTTATCTTAGTGTCCCTACAGCTAAGACTGGAAAACATGCCATCACATCCATTTTTGTCTTGCTTCCTTAACTTTAACCATCACAAACTTTGTCCAGTGGCTATAATCCTCATTTTAAAGAGAGAAAAATATTTTTTTAAAAAAGTTAAATATCAGACTCATAGCCAAACTTTGGGCAGAGTGCAGAGAATCTTATGAAAGAAGGGTGAGATAGAAAGACCTGGAGGGGACAGGAACTCAACAAGGAGAGCAATGGAATCCAAAAATCTGGGCCCAGGGGTCTTTTCTGAGACTGATACTCCAAACAAGGACCACGCATGGAGATAACTTAGAACCTCTGGACAGGTGTAGCCCACGGCAGTTCAGTGTCCAAGTGGGTTCCCGAGTAAGGGGAACAGGGACTGTCTTTGACATGAACTCAGTGACCTGCTTTTTGATCACCTCCCCATGAGCAGGGAGCAGCCTGACCAGGCCACAGGGGAGGACAATGCAGCCAGTCCTGATGAGACCTGATAAGCTAGGGTCAGATGAAAGGGGAGGTGGACCAGTGGACTGAGGGAGGGGCATGGGAGAAGAGGGAGAGAGGGTGGAGTTGGGAGATGAGGAAGGCGGCTACAGATGGGATATAAAATGAATAAATTGTAATAAATTTGGAAAGCTAGTAACTAAGTAAAATGGGAAGCCTTTGAAAGCCAAAAAAAAAAAAAAAAAAAAAAAAAAAACCTGGTTCTCAAATTTCAGGCACCCAACTCCAAAATATTTGGAATATTTGGCCATTATCACCTCAATATTCCAAGTGGGGAAAAGAGCCATAAAACACTAGATGTGTTTAGCAAAAGCTGCCATGGTGATCTTAAACCTGTCACTGGATTTGTCTACAAGCCTGAGACTAAAGGGACTTGATCCCTGTATGTCATTTTTATCCTTTGGGAGGAAGTAAGAATGAAAACAAAGAGCCTAAAGCAAAAGCCATTTTGGAAACCTTTACCATAATGAAAACTTGATTTTTGCTCTTCTATTATTTGACCCATGAATGCTAGAATGAATTTAAAAGGAAAAGTAGAAAATTTGTGGTTAGATGGAAACTATCTTGATTATTATAATGGCTAGATTTCATTGTCAGCTTGACTAGATTTGGAATCATGTAAGACCCCAACACTGGGCATATCTCTGAGAATGTTTCCAGAGAGGCTTAAGGGATGAAAGAAGATCCACCCTTCATGTGGCTACCATTATTCATGTGCTGAAGTCCTGAACTGAACATAAAAGGAAAAGGTGAGCTGAGCGGCATCAGTATCTATCTCGCTCACTGTGTGTGCATCTAGCCATGTCACCTTCCCACTGCCATGCCTTCCCGCATGATGGACTATGTTCTTCTTGAAACAAACTCCCTTAAGTTGCTTTTATCACTAAATAAGAAAACACAATATAACTAGTAAATAGGTTAAAATTAATAGATTGAAACAAAAGTACCCCAAAACTAGAGAAATTTTTTTTTGTTTTTTTCTGAGACAGAGTTTTTCTGTGCAGCATTGGCTCTCCTGGACTTTTAGATCAGGCTAGGCTCACAGAGATCTGCCTGCCTCTGCCTCCCTGGAATCAAAGATGTTCACCACCATGCCTCACTAGAAAAATTTCTTCAAGATTTTTTTCGTCATGAACACTAATTCTACGTTATATAGGTTTTCTCTTGAATGGGGCAGGGTTAAAAGCAATGGCTGAAAGAAACCATCTTAATTGGTACACTACAATCAAATCTTAAACCGGGTATGCTGGCTAGTAGTCCCAGCACTGCACTCAGAAGGCTGAGGCAGAGCTGCCATAAGGCCATCCTGGGCTACAAAACAAGCCCACATCTCAAAAGCAACAAATTACCTGATCTCAATTTTAGGAGTTTTAGAGATTGTGTTTAATCCTGGTTTTGACTGGGAATCAAAGTATATACTCTAACAAGGTCCCATTCTCTTTCCTCCAAATGCTGGGGATAGAACCCAGGGTCTTGTGCATACTAGACTGCCACTGAGCTCTAATCCAATCTCAAACACCTAATGAAGAAATGACATTTATTAAATATTTGCCACAAATCTTAGTTCTTTTACTGACAGCCTAAATAGCCCACAAAATGGATGGCCTCCATCCTACAGAGCTATCACCAGCTTAGGATGACTAATTTGTTTTGGTATCACTAACTAGCAGGTAAGAAAGGCCAAGAAGTCCATAAACTTTGGAACTCAATGTCAGGAACATTCCATAGATCAGTGGTTAAAAAAAAAAATCAGAATGACTAGAGATGCTTTTTAATATACAAGTTCGAAGACACCACACAAATCTTGTCAATCAGACTTGACAAAGCAATGTCAATCTTCTGATAACATCATTCTGTTCTCATCATGCTACTTCCCCAAAGCTTTAGTACCTTAGACATGCTTTTAACTTATAGCAGAGATTCACTTTTTCATCAACTTCCTCTTATACTTACTTGAGTTTAAACATAAATTTTGCATATATATGTGTGGAGTATGTATGGCATATACCCAGGACACACACGGAGGTCAGAGGGCAACTTTCAGGACTCAGTCATCTTCCTTCCCCCATGTGGTCCTGGAGATTGAACTCAGGTCATCAAGTGTAGCAGCAGCTACATTTACCCTACAGTGGAGTTTTAATTCTTGACTTACTTTTTCTACTTCCTATCCCCTTTTCTACAGATATAACAATTTCCAAAGGTTATACTCCATAGATTAACTAAGGAGGCTGGCAAAAATGCCAAGTAAAAGATGCCTGAATTCTGTATCTACGTACTACATCTCTAAAGCTGCTTCATGAAACTGTGCATACTATAACTTACGACTGGACTTGAGTAAAATTGTCAATCTGAATCTCTCTAGTATGTGCTTCCAATAGCGTAGTTTTTAAAGTTGCCACAAAAACACAACTTACCTTTCCAGAAACCAGAGTTATCACCTTCTTCAAACTTGTTATTTAAAAAACCTATATAAAATATAAAAAGAAGCTGCAAATTTCTGAAAAAATTTCCTTTACCTTTATAGTTTTCTTTCTTTAAAAAAAAAGTTTTTCAAGACTGGAGAGATAGTTAAGAGTACTTACTGCCCTGTCACAAAAGCAGGGGTTCAGATCGAGCACTCAGCATCAGATGGCTCATAAATGCCTGTAATTCCAGCTCCAAGGAACCTGACACCCATACCATGTGCACAGAAACACACACAAAATGCACATACACATAAATAAAATCTTTTTAAAAAGTCTTTCAGGGACAACCAGTTATGATGACCCTTCAAAATGAGATAAACTATATTCAACTTTGTATACAGACATGGAATTACAGCTAATTCATATTACACTAGAATTTCTGCCTCTATCAGAGTATCAGCTCTATTAAGTTTAAAAACTGTTTCAATAAATTTTATGTTATGTCAAACATCTTATATTCCTCCTTATATACACAGGCAAGACAATAGTATGTTATCATTATAACCATTATTTATTTTTTATTCACAATAACAAAAAATTTTAATTTGGGGCTGAGGAGATGGCTCAATTGATGATGAGTTCAATCCCCAGCACCACTATGAAAAAGCGGTATGTATCTATAATTCCTGCACTGAAGAAGCAAGAACAGAAAGATCTCTGGGGCTTAGTGGCTAGGCAGTCTAGCCAAATCAATGAGCTACAGGTTCAGTGAGAGAGCCGTCTCCAAAAATCTGTTGACTCTTAAAATGTTCCTGAATGCTAAAATATTCAAGGAGCTAGTATGGTGATACATGCTTGTAGCCCCAGCTACTTGGAAGCTAATTATAGAGCATCACTTGAGTTCATGGGTTAGATACCTACCTGGGCAGCATAACGAGACACCCCAGTCTGTCTGACTCTCTCACACATAGAAAAAATACTTGGGGATACATACCTTAAAATTAAATATCAATATGGAATGCCTGTCAATCATTATCTAAACTATATTATAAAGTGCTACAATTGGGTTTAATATAAGAACTAGCCAGTTATTGGAGCAGTTGTTCAATTTATACACATGATATATGTGTTACCTAACATCCTCAAGTTGAGCCAAATATAAAGGTCTTCCCAGCAATAAAATTTTGGTTGTAAGGTATTACAAGTAATTACCTCTGTTTCCAAAACCCTTTCCTCTTCCAAAGCCACCAGTTGTAGGTGCATTCTCTCTTTTACTAGACTCGCCAATATCTGAAAAAGTTTAGAAAGTTAAACTTCTTAACATGTAAAATTCTAACTTTGGGCAGAGTACAGAGAATCTTATGAAAGAAGTGGGAGATAGTAAGACCTGGAGAGGACAGGAGCTCCACAAGGACAGCAACAGATCCTAAAAGTCTGGGCACAGGGGTCTTTTCTGAAACTGATATTCCAGCCAAGGACCATTCATGGAGATGGCCTGGAACGCCTGCACAGAGGTAACCCATGGCAGTTCAGTATCCAAGTGGCCTCTGTAATGGGAACAGGGACTGTCTCTGACATGAACTGACTGGCCAGCTCTTTGATCACCTCCCCTTGAGGGGGGAGCAGCCTTACCAGGCCACAGAGGAAGACAATGCAGCCACTCCTGATGAGACCTGATAGACTAGGGTCAGAGGGAAAGGGGAGGAGGACCTCCCTTTTCAGTGGACTGGGAGAGGGACAGGGGTGGGGAAGAGGGAGGGGAGGAGGGAGGTATGGGGGGGATACAAAGTAAATTAACTATAATTAATAAAAATAATTTAAAAAATAGGGATGAACTTTATTTAGGGTTAGATGACTTTTACAGCGGGAAAAAACAATAGTAAAGGGACTTAAAATAATAATATATTTGCAAACTTTATTTATTTATTCATCAAGTCATGATTCCAAAGTAAAAATCATAAACCTATTAGTAGTAAAATATAAGTTCTACCTATTGTTTTACCTTTATCAGGAGTTTGCTTTATGATTTCTCTATATTGAATCCTCCTCACCCCAACAGACCAAGACATTATATTCAGCTCACACGATATTCTTCACTACTGAAAATTTTGTATTTTATTTTGTGTTTTTATTGCTCTATTATTTATTGTATTGTTCTATTGTTTGTTTCTCTAGTATGGCTATTATTTCCAAACTGCACACTTTAGAAACATTTCTTATACTTATTTTGTGTGTGAGCAACACATTTGAAGATCAGAGGATGGATTCTTTCCTTCCACCACAAATCGAACTTAGGTTGTCAGGCTTAACAAAAACCACCCTTTTCTGCTGAACCACCTCACCAGAACTGTACTTTTGTTCTCTTCTTGAGACAGTCTCACAATGTAGCCCCTGGCTGGCCTTGAACTCATTATGTAAACCAGGGTAGCCTCAAACTCAAGAGATCCACCTGCCTCTACTTCTATGTACTGAGATTAAGGGCATGTGACACCACCCTTAATTTGTTGTTGATGTTGTGTGTGTTTCTGTGGTAAGTGTGTGGCACGAGTGCAGACTTATGCAAGTCATGGCACACATGCAAAGGTCAAAAGACAGCTTTCAGTTTACCTTTTCCTTCCACCCTGGAATTGGGAAATTGAACTTAGGACATCAGACTCACAGTAACAAATGAGCCATCTTTAAGTAACCCCATTTCCACACTTGAACATCTAGTATTTTGTACCTTTTTATATGCTGTTCCTTTTGGTATGGTGTCCATGCTCTCCTATTTTTCCTATTAAAATTTCATCCTTCTAAAGATCAGTTCTTCTGTGACGTCTTCTCTAACACTCTAACCAGGCAAAGTTCTTCCACGCTCCTAACAGCAAACTACTCGTGTTTCTCCATCACTAACTTAAGAACCAGCTAGGTTTGGTAGGACACACCTGTAGTTCCCACTACATAGCAGGCTGAGACAGGAGCCTCAACCCTTGAGCCCAGCAGTTTTGGACCAACCAGGGTAACACAATTTATCCCAAGAAAGACAATCTTAAGGTCAGAGATACCATGACAAGGAGCATAGTTTGTTATGTTTATACTATTTTCATTAATTCTTAGAGAATTTCATACAGTGTATTTTGAACATATAAACACACACACACACCCCTCATCTTACCACCCTCTCTACCTGGAATAGAAAGGAACAAGAGACATCCAAATCTAAGCTACACCTAGGAAAGTGCATTCTCTGTGATCCCTAATAAACCATCTTACCTAAGATGTTCAAGTAAATCTTTAAAACTCCTAAAACCTTGTGTTAATTACATGTGCCAAGTGTATTTTCATATCTTAATAATTGTATGTAATTCAAGAACTTAAAGTAACTTAGCCATCATTTGAAAAACTTGAAAAGCTAATCAAGATGTTGCATTTTAACTCTAAGAATCAAATCAAAAGCATATTAACACTAATTGAGCTATGCAAGTTCAAAAACCACTGCCAAGTTTAAACTATATAAAATGCTAGATCAGGTGTAAGGAAAAGACATTATATTCATGAGTCTGTGAACTTCTGGATTACATATAGCACAGAGACAATTTTTTAAGTTATTGGCATCCAGCCAAGAAGAATCTGTTTTGTTTGGTTTGAGACAGGTCTTACTATGCTTGGATTTGTTTGAACCCACATGCTGCCCAGTTTCCTTAGTGCTGGGACTATCGATGTGCACCATTACACCTAGATTAGAGTTCCGATTTTTTAAAAAAATCATTGTGTATTTCACCCTAAAACATGAAAATAACCTATGAAAAAAATCTGTAATGTTGGTCATTTTCTCACTGAAAAAGTACTATTAAGTTCTCACTTCAGCAGCACATATACTAAAATTGGAATGATACAAAGGTTAGCATGGCCGCTGCACAAGGATGACTCTCAAATTTGTGAAGCATTCATATTTAAAACTAACTACTGGCTCTTTCATCACTACCCCCTGGTGGGGTGGCCTAACTAAGCCACAGAGAAAGAAAATCCAGACAGTCCTAATGAGACCTGATAGGCTAGGGTCACATGGTAGGGGAAGAGGTCCTCCTGAATCAGTGGACTAGGGGAGAAGGACAGGGGAGGAAGAGAGAGGGTGTGACTGGGAGGAGATGAGGAAGGGGGCTATTGCCGGGACACAAAGCAAATAAATTGTAATAAATAATAATAATAATAAAACATTTAAAGAATAAACAAACAAAAAGTACTATTGAGGCCAGACATGGCAAACATATCTTTAATCTCAGCACTAAAAGAAAGGAATAAAAAGATCCCTGAAAGTATAGACTTCTACTATACTATACTTCATATCACATAATTGCTTGAAAATTTGAAGATACAGCTACATTGCTAATTCTCTCCTAAATACTAAGATATTATTTCTACTGTTAGTAGGAACTAGCAAAACCAATATTTTAACTGTTTATCTCATGTACGTGATTAATTAGCTCAAAATAGCTGAGTGTGGTGGCACATGTGTCTGATCCTAGCATTTATGAAGCAGAGGCAAGAGGATCACTCAAGCTCAAGGCCAGTCTGGTTACAAAAGTACAAGGCAAGTAGGGCTACAAAGTAAAATTCTGTCTTTAAAACTGGGAAGGGGAACCCATCAATTACATGATCCAAATCATCATTGTATGTTAATATGTAGATATTTAAAAACAAAATGCATATTAATATTTGAAAAATAAATTGTTAACAATTAGTAGCAAGAATACTCAAATATAAAATTCAAATTTGTGCTTGCATATAAATAAGAAATTAGGTTTTCCAACAGTCAAATGAAATACTTTAATTGTGACAGCAATTGAAAAAGTCTATAAAGTTTTTCAAAAGAAAAATTTAAGGATGAGTGTTAGATATTTTAAAATTATCAAACAGTCTTAGCTATGTTATGCCTTGAAAGATAAAAAAGGTTCATAAAGATTAAAATTAGCATAAATTTTTAATAAAATGTTGTTGACTTATAATAAAACATAGTACAAAATGTTTTCAGCACTTTAATATCAACTCTATTAATTTTGGGAAAATAAAGCTATTTTGCTCTATCATTATCCACTAAACCCAAGTGTTTCTAGTTTCTATTTGCAGCTCAGGGTGGCCTTAAACTGAGAATCCCCCTGCCACAGCCTGCCAAGTACTAGACTTACAGGATCCATCACAATTACAAGTGTTGATAGTTCTAAAAGTATGTTAAAACCCATCCTTGGCCAAGCATAGTGATGTGTGCCTGCAACTGCTTCATTTGGGAGGTGGAGGCAGGAAGACAAGGAGTTTAAGGTCACCCCTGAACCACTGTTGGTAAGGTGTGCTGTCAATAAGCACAATACAGTTCTTCACCAGTGTCTTGGTGTGGACAAGCTCATTATTGGATGCCCTAGCAAAAGTTCCCCACATCCAATCTCAGGGTGTACCACTATGCACTCCCCCTAGGCTGCAGGAAGGGGTTCAAGCTGACTCCTGAGGAGTCAAGAGATTTTAAACAAAAACAATCAAAGAAAACTCAGAAGAAAGATGATGACAGAAAAAATAACACCAAAATCAGCAGTCTCCTGGAGAAGCAGTTCCAGCAGGGCAAGCTTCTTGCCTGTATTGCCTCAAGACCAGGCTAGTCTGGTCAAGCAGATGACTATGTGCTAGAAGGCAAGGAGCTGGAGTTCTGAGGAAGATAACACCCAGAAAGGCATATAAACCATCATTCACAGCTTATGTTAAAAAAAAAAAAAGGTCAGACTCAGCTAGACAGCAAATTCAAGGGCCAGCCAGTCTGAGCTACAAGAGACCCTGTCTTAAAAAGAACTACAATACATACACACACACACACACACACACACACACACACACACACACACGTCAACCTTTTCAAAATAACTTCTTAAACTTAATACTGATAGGCTAACACATAAAGTTCCCATACCACCTTTTGTTAGGAAAGCTAGCCAACATTCAAGGAAGTCCTTATATTCTAACCTCCAAAATTTTAACACTCCTTTCACATGAATTTCTAGAAACAGACATTTTAAATTAAGCAGTAGCTGTGGATAACCTGTCAAAGCAATCTGCTAGTCCACTTAACTCTGTCTCATTATCCCAAGGAAGTAAAACAGCATAAAGCACATGGGCATGACTTGGTGTGGTGGCACAGGCCTCCACTACCAGCAGTTAGGAAGCTATGGAAAGAAGATCACAAGTTCAACACTTGTCTATACTATATTTACATGGAGAGTTTATGGCCAGCGTGGATTATATCATACAGAGCGTAAGCTAGGTGGGCATGACTGTCTGTTTCTTAGCCTCACACCCCACACTACTGACATTATATAAAAAGGCATGACTTTACTCCCAGCAAAGTCAGGTGGAACTCTGTGCCTGGTCTGCAGAGCAAGTTCTATGAAAGCCAGGGCCAAACAGAGAAACCCTGTCTCAAAAAACAAAAACAGCAACAAAAATTAACTCATATTAACAAAATATACCATCCACTGAGTTATAGCAGACTTAGCTTTGCAACAGATAGCCAGTCAAAGCCCCTATATGCCATTATTCAACAGTTCAAAGGTTAGGAAAAGATGATGCTTACCTCTGTTTCCCAAATTCCTTCCAGAGGAAAATCCACTTCTCATGAAATGATCTCTTCCAGACGGTCCATCTTCCATTTCTAAAACAAGTAACATTTCATCATAAGTCAAATAAAAATGCGTATCTAAATATACAAATTTAAAGCCTTTTCAATGTGCTGTCCACATAACAGAGAAATTTTATTTACCAACAAGTGACAGATCCAAGCTACTTGGGAGGCTGAGGTAGAAGGGTGACAAATTCATGAAAAGTCTGAGCTACAACATAAGTTCAAGGCCAACATTAGCAACTGATTGAGATACTTTCTCAAGACAAAATTAAATTACAGAGGTAAGGTTGGGTTAGGATATAGCCCAGTGGTAGAGTATTTGTTTAGAATGCATGAGTCCCTAGGTTTAATCTCTAGAATATGATGACAACAAAGAGCCTAATTGAAAAGTGAACTGTATGTAGCTCTTTAGAAGAATATTCTATGTTAACTAGCTTCTACAAAGACCCATTCACCTACCTAGAGATGGCTCCAGCCACAATGAGCTGAGCCCTCCTATATCAATTAGCAATAAAAAAAAAAGTTCCCCACACAGACATACCCACGGGTTAATATAATCAAAGTAATTCTTCAGTTAAAAATCTCTCTTACTAAGTAACTCTAGGCTGTGTCAAGTCAACAATAAAAAACTAACCAGGACACTTTCATTAATTAAATGCAAGACACAGCATAACAGGATTCCACTTTTCGAAAATGAAATGAAACCAGATCAAGTATAAACTTAACAGAATGAAAAAGTATGGAAAACAAGGACAGACAAGAAAAAAAAGCAAGTCTGTCAATAAAAAGAAATATGTAAATATGCATCCATAAAATACAACCAGAATTTGTTATAATTACATTAGAATATACAGAGAAATCTAAAAATAATCAAGAGTCACTGTCAGTGGAGGCTAAAACTTTTGGGGCCAAGATTTTGGATAATTTAGGAATAATTTTGTTTCTTCCTTTCTACCTATTTAAATTTTTGACAAGACTTATCTAGGTTTCAGTTTTACTTTACATTCACTTGACTAAAATATGCTGCAGGAAGAAAATAAACTTTCTAGGTCCAAAAAAAGCTACATTTACAATCATAAAATAGGTCCAGCACAATGGGTCAATGTAGGTACTTGCAAAAGCCTGACAGCCTGGGTTCGACTCCCAGAACCCATATGGTGGAAGGAGAAAACTTGATTCTTGCAAGCTGCCCTTTCCTGAACACTCCTACTTTGCAGCATGCATGCATGCCAACCCCAACATACATACAATAAATACATATAAAATTTAAATAGTTTAAATTTTTAAAATTTTTAAATATTTAAAATTTAATATTTTTGAAAATAGTTTAATTAAAAAAAAAAAAAACACAAAAAGGTACTTGTTATCCAGAACAGAGGCAATTATTTCTCACATGATTTTATTCATTTAGCCTAAGGATTCATAAATCAATAAGACTTTTTAGTTGGTGGTCATTTCAATCTAACTTTTTAAAAAGTCCACGATAACACAGCATTATGCACTCATATGATATAGGCCTACTTCATCCCTTTAATAAAACTGCCTTTTGTTGATTCCACAAAAGAACCAGTTTTCTGCTGGTTACATTATCAAGAAGTACACTTTTTTTTTTTTTTTGCTTTAAACCAGCTTTTAATTTTTTTATATTATTAATTACACTTTATTCATTTTGTATCCCCCCATAAGCCCCTCCCCCTCCCCTCCCAATCCCACCCTCCCTCCCCTTTCTGCATGCATGCCCCTCCCCACGTCCATTGATAAGGAGGTTCTCCTCTCCTTTCTGATCTTAGTCTATCAGTTCTCATCAAAAGTGGCTGCATTGTCCTCTACCGTGGCCTGGTAAGGCTGTTCCCCCCTCAGGGGGAGGTGATCAAAGAGCAGGCCAATCAGATTATGTCAGAGGCAGTCCCTCTTTCCATTACTATGTAACCCACTTGGACACTGAACTGCCATGGGCTACATCTGTGCAGGGGTTCTAGGTTATCTCCATGAATAGTCCTTGGTTGGAGTATGAGTCTCTGGGAAGTTCCCTGTGTTCAAATTATCTTGTTCTGTTGCTCTGCTTGTGGAGTTCCCGTCCCCTCCAGTTCTTACTATTTCCCACTTCTTACATTAAATTCCATTCACTCTGACAAGAAGTACACTTTTACATATTTGCCTTTTTCATGTTTAAAAGATCTCAACATTCATATGGAGGAAGCAAAATTACCCTTTTGTTATTTTCAGGAGGCTTTTTTAAATTTTTTATTATTAGTTACATTTTCTTAACTCTGTATCCCAGCTGTATCCTGCTCCCTCATTCTCTCCCAATCCCACCCTCCCTCCCTCATCTCCTCCCTGTCCCTTCTCAAGTCCACTAATTGGGGAGGACCTCCTCCCCTTTCATCAAAAGCCCCTTTCAGGAGGCTTTTGAGAATCTGATTATATTAAACCAATACATTTAAATATTTGTAAAGAAGTGCTCCTTGACAGCAGCAAACATTTATAAACTTTTGTCAAAACACTAACTTTGAACTAAAATAGCTATAGGAATTAAATTTGCTTTAACCTGATAAACTGAGTCTCCAACTCACCTCACATTCTATAAGCAACCTTGACAAAGTTTTATTTTTCTTCACTTTAAATCAGGTTCCTGTGAGCCAACTGTTCCCTTGACTATAAAATGTTTTTACCTCATCCTCCAATTTTTAATGGGAAAAAATATAAACTGAGTATGTCCCTACGCCTTGCATTTGACTGCCTTAGAATGAGCAGTAACTCAAATGCATAGACAGCAACTTGGAACTCACTAGAAGTACAGCAGTCTGGTTGCCAGTGGCTGAGAAGCTATTATTTTAATGGGAACAGAATTTCAGTTTGCAAGAATGAAAAATTCTCAAAGTATATGGAAGATGATGTAGTAATGCAAATGTGATTAATGCCAGACAAGTGTACACGTTAAAATGGTGAAGATGAAAAAAACAGTCTTGGGACTGCAGCAATGGCCCAGCAGTGAAGAGTACTTACTACTTACTGCTCTTGCAGAGCAGCCAAGTTCAGTTCCCTGCACACACACGGCAGCTCACTGTCAGCTCTAACTCCAGTTCCAGAGGATCTATCACCTTCTGGCTTCTTTATGTATCTGGCACGTATATGGCACACTCATATACATGCTAGCAAAACACTCATCCACAAAAATAAGCCAATCTTTCCTTTTTAATGACGAAGATGAGGCCTGGAAAGGTGACTCGCCAAGTAGAAGCACTTGCTGGAAAGGCCTGACCTTCCGAATTCAATTCCCAGAACCCCTAAGGGTGGAGAGAATCAACTCCACAAAACTGTCCTCTGACCTCCACACACATGCGACAGCACCCACATACACACTATGCACACAATAAATAAAAACATTAATGGTGAAGATGGTCATTATAATGTACATTTTACCATAAGAAAGAAAAATCTTTCACTGCACAGTAGCAATCACATTTCAGCCTGTTTCAGGCTTCAACAAAAGACTACTGCCAAGTACGAGCCCATTTCCTAGCCCTTCTACCGTGTTGCATACACATTAACCCTATAGGTAGCACACATGCAAATAAACATCCCAAATAAAAAATACAGAGAAAAGGGTTAGGAGCAGCAGAATAGGTTAAGACTTTGTTTTGAAACTTATCTCTCATTCTCTTGAGAATTCAGTAAATTAGTTTTCTCATACCGTCCCCCTCCCAAAAAAATTCATGGACATGTCTGGCTTAAACAGTTGTTTGGGGACCAATCATCATGATTGGAACCTGCTTTAATAATATTACTATCTATCCTGCTCCTTATTATTAGAAGACCTGATAATGCTTTGGCAACCTGAAAACAAACATGCAACCTTAAGGCTGGAAAAAGTTTCACAACTCACTAAATTAAAAAAAAAACCACACTCTCTAACACTATAACATCTTTAGCTACAAGTTACCATATTCCAAAATATCCAAACTACAATGAAGCCTCATTAGAAAAACTTAAAAACACACTCTCGTCAGTCTATCCCCTTAAGTATTACATAAAACCATAACGAAAAAGAAAAGCCTTCTTGCCTTAACGCATACCTGATGAAGCTGAAGTCCTGTTAAAAGTGTCTCCATTTGCTCCAGAAGAATATTTATCCTGTAAGAAAGAAAAACAAGTTTTCTACTCTGAATAATAACATGTCATCCATTTCACAAACAGAAACTGGAGTCCCTTTTTCAGGAGAAATATATTCTAAGGCCCTCAGTGCCTGAAACCACAAGTAGTATCTAAATTTATTTGTATCTTCTCTCTCTCTCTCTCTCTCTCTCTCTCTCTCTGCCTCCCTTTCCCCCTCTCATACACACAGAAGATATGATATACTTTTCTTATACATATATACCTATAATAAGGTTTATGTATCTGGCACAGTAAGAAAATGAAACAACCATGGCAATATACTATGAAGAATCTTACTGTTCTTTACTCTTGTGCTGTGACATATATAATGCTTATATGAGATGAAGTGATGTGGATGAAAGAAATCATGTTCAGATTGTGGGCCATAAACCCATATTGTCATACAGGTAGTGTATACAGCATGGATACAGCAGACAAAGGGATGATTCACTTTCTGAGCAAGACAAGGGGGGAACAGTGGGAGGCTGTACCATGCTACTCAGAATGACATAAAATTTAAAACATCTGTTATTTACTTCTGAAATTTCCCACTTAATATTTTTCATCATAGTTAACAACTGGTAACTGAAACCATGAAAAGCAAAACTTCAGATAAAGATTGATTGCTGTATAATTGAATGCAAAAACAACAGTAAACAGTGAGGTTTTCTTGGTCACTAGTAAGGACCTCCTTACTAGTTATTCCAAGACATAGTAACTTAATGTTGTAAGTGTAACATATGAATTTATCACTTCAAATTATTAAATAATAAACTACAATCAGAGGCCAATTCTATAAACAATTTTACTGGAGTACAGCAATTCAGTAATCTATGACTCTATCAACAGCTGCAATAGTCAAGCTGTGGCTGAGACTCAAGCAGTCACAGACTAGCACTTTAAATGAAAGGTTTGCTGACCCACATACTTGAAAAGTGTGAACTATTATTAAGTAAATAAACCAATGACAATACAAAATATTGTTGGCAGAGCTCAGTATTTCACAGCACACTTACCAATACTACAACTAGAGTAGAACACAGAACAAAATCATCAGAAGGCAGGCTCACAGTAAAGACACTTATTTTAAAAACTTTCATTGTGACTAGGCATTACTAGCACTCAGGATGCTAAGACAGGAAGATGATGAGATTGAGGCCAGCTTGGGTTACATAAAATTTTGTCTCAAAAATGTTTTAAAATTATTTACCACTGTAAATAATTAAAACAAGTAAAATAAATTAGTATGCCTACACTTAAATACCTGACTTTAAAGAATAGCCATTTACACACTTAAAAGTATATGAATTCTGGGGTTGTGTTTCAAATCCAATGAAGTAGTAAATAACCAGCTACAGGTTAATCAGAATATTCATGGTTAATTTTAATTAAACTTGAGTGAGCAGTGTTGAAGACTGTCTTCAATGCCTTCAAATAATGTCTCGCGTCTTAAAGACAAGCTACGTAGATGCATGTGCAGTACTGTGGCAGTGTTATACTGACCAGCAGACTTAAGACATTCAAGTTCCGTTACAGATCAATAACTGAATACCACGTTAACTTTGAAATCTTCCAGGATTTCTCTGTGTTAATGACATCTGAGTAATTTTTTTTATCACTTCTGCACCTATAAATGTCCCTTTATCATTAATCTACTCTTTCATTTCTTAGGTAAGCTTCCTCCAAGTAAAAATCCAGACTATAGCTCTGAAATTCATGTATGAGAATACAACATGTATAATTTAAGAATGAAGCGACCTAAACTTATAGATATCACTGTAGTCAAGTGACAGCATTACAAAGTCACAACCTTCCTTCAGATAAGTTCATTTAAGTACCAAAGTTGGAAAGAGTGCACCAAGGTGGCTCTCTATTCAACTAGCAGTTCTCTAAAATCTTTTTCACAGAAGGAACTAAGCAACGTTTAAAACTTATATGTAGCTCAAGAACCATCCACTATTTTCCAAAGTTGTTATTAAAAGCAAAAACATAACAGTGTTACTGAAATGCTCTGGAAAACCGGTATAATAAAAAAGCCAGATACTAACTAAGAATGATCCAACCAGCCCTAACAACGAACAGGATACTATCAGGGAAACAGAGCAAAAATCTTACTGGTTTAATGTATCTAAATCAATAAATGGTAACGGTACATTTCTGCAGAAAACTGTGCATTTTATTACTATATTTTGCCTCAAGCTATGAAATTTAATATTCATATATATTTAACTTACAAATTCCAAGGCAAATTGTGAAATAGTCACATGCTCACAGTAGATAAAAATGACTGTAAATTTAGGATGTTCTTTATACTACTCTAATTCATCCATATTTTAAGTTTGGTTTTTCCAAAATATTTTTAAAGGAAAACTCTACTCCATCTAATCATTAACTCAGATTATCCTCCTAGTGTTCTCCAGCTGTTGCCCACTTCTCTGTCTTACTTAAAACGTTTACAGCTGCTGCCTCCCTTATTTCCTTCAAGATATGCCCAACCCAGCTTCCACACACTTCTGACCTGAAATGCTTTTTCTTAATTTATTCTTCTCTCATACAGTACATTCAAAACCCAGCCTGCTCCTCCCTTCCTTCCAATCCCCTCTCTCATCTTCCCTCTCCCTTAGGATCCACTGCTCCTCCCTTGTCCTTCAGAAAAGAGCATGCCTCCCTGTGGTATATCAACTGAACACAGCCTAACAAAATGCAGTAAGACTAGAAATAAACCCTCATAATCAAGGCTAGACAAGGCAATCCAGTAGGAGAAAAAAGGTTCCACAAGCAGGCAAAAGTGAGAGACATCCCAACTCCCACTGTTAGGAGTCCAACAAAAATTCCAAGCTAAACAACCACAGCTTGTATGCAGAGAGCTTTCTAATAAGGGAAATAACTCTGCAATAAAATTATCACTGTGTATCTCTACCAAATGTACAGCAGTATTTCAGAGAGCTTTTACTTTCCATAGTTTGTTTTGTTTCATTCTGTTTTTTGTTTTGTTTTTTGAGACAGATCTGTATATTATAGCACGCACGGATTATGACCTGGTGACCTTCCTGGTTGGGAAGGAGGTATATTATAAATACAAAACTGATGTGTGGCTATCTCTCAGGCAGTACAGAAAGAATAGCCAGAGCTATTTGGAGGAGTCCAAAGCTGCCATAGCAAAAAAAAAAAAAAAAGGGGGAAAGCCTTGCCAATTACAAGGAGAGAAGCTGTAAACTGGTGCAGCCTGGAGGTTTAGGGTAGTGAGGAGGGGTTTGTGAGCTCCCAGGGTGGCATTGGTATGCGTTACAGGTACATGTTAATAAGGACCTAAACAGGTATGCGCTAGTAAGGAACTAGATGTTCCATTTGTCAGAGAGAGGAGATAAGGGAGGTGGCTCCTCTGGCAGGCAGGACCCATTTCACAGGTTCCCGAGGAATGCTGAATGTAAGCTTCTATCTGCACCACCTATCCTCCTGTTTACCCTGTCAAGAGCCCAGCCTGAGCTGAGCCCACAGAGTCATTATGGACATTGCCAGTGGCACTGCCACTTTGAGGTTTGGGGGTTGGGCCCTAACCCCCAACTACAACTAGAGTTGTAGTGTGCAACTCTCCATCTGGTCTCCATGACACTCTTACTCTACCTGATTTTACCCAAGCTCACAGCTTTAAATCCCACTAACAGATAATTATTCAACTTTTATGTATGGGCCCAATCCTTTTAATAAAAAAATTAATTGGCTGCCATCCTTTTTAATACCTAAAATTAGCCTGCAGGCCCCACCTGCCCAAGGTCCGGGCAACCTCCTGGGATGCTTGGGAGTTGTAGTTCTTGGAATACAATAAAAGCCTCATGGAAAAGTGGACTAAAGGTCTGTCTCTATAAACCCTTCAACACGTGTGTCCCAGCCACTGAGCTGGGAAATTCCAGGGAGTGGGCCTAACCAAAGGCCATGTCTTGGTCAGTATTTAACAAATTTGGTCCAAAATGGTAGAATTGGCTTTTCTACAGCAAATCTCAGGATTAACACCTTTTGTGTCCATGTCTTCACATGCAAAGAAGGCACTGAATGTAAAAAACAGATTTTTCTCTTTTTTCTTCCCAAATTTGTTCACCCTCTATAAAAGCCCCATTTCATGAAACAGCAAATCACCAACTTAGAGTTTAAGTTATAGAACACAGTCATCATTCTTGATCCCTTTCCTTCATTACCCAAATCTATTCCATTCAGTCCTACCAACTTTATGTGCTCAACTACTTTCAGTTGAGCACATACTTTCTCTTTCTTTTTCTGACATCAGATTGTACCGCTGTCTTATCTCATTGTGCTTTAGTCATACTGGCTACCTAAGTTGCATAATGGCCACCCACAGACATCAAGTCCTAATCCTGGCATTTGTTATGGTTTTTGTCATTTGAGAATTTCATATGTGCATACAATGTGTTTTTTAAATTAATTTATTTTTTATTAATCACAGTTCCAATCCCACTTTCCCTCCCTCTTCTCCTCCCCTCCCCCTCCCCCAGTACACTGATAGGGGAGGTCCGCCTCCCCTTCCATCTGATCTTAGTCTATCAGTTCTCATCAGGAGTCGCTGTATTGTCTACCTGTATGATGTGGTAAGGCTCCACACCCCACAGGGGAAGGTGATCAAAGAGCCACCCACTGAGTTCATGTCAGAGACAGCCCCTGTTTCCCATTACTAGGGTACCCACTTGGAGACTGAGCTGCCATGGGCTACATCTGTGCAGGGGTTCTCAGACAATTAGGAATAGTGCTTCCTAAGATCCAGCTACACTACTCATACGCATATATCCAAAAGATGCTCAAGTATACAACAAGGACATTTTCTCAATCATGTTCGTAGCACCTTTATTTAAAATAGCCAGAACCTGGAAACAACCCAGATGTCCCTCAGTTGAGGAATGGATACAGAAACTGTGATACATTTACACAATGGAACACTATCCAGCAATTAAAAACAAGGAAATCATGAAATTTACAGGCAGATGGTGGGAACTAGAAAAGATTATCCTGAGTGAGGTATCCCAGAAGCAAAAGACACACATGGTATATACTCACTTATAAGTGAATATTAGACATATAATATAGGATAAACATACTAAAAGCATACAGTGTGTTTTGATCAAATCCAGCCCCAATTCCCTCCCCTTCAATTTCTCATCTATCCTCACACCACCACTGCTTTTTCCTCCCAACTTTATGTGATATTTAGAAAGCCCCTGAGTACTTATACTAGGTAAGTCCACTTACATACTAATGTAGCCAATGCACAAGTAGCCTCTCAGGGGCTGCTTCCCTGAAAAAAAAAAAAGAACTGACTCTCCCTCCCCCTGAAGAGAACTGCCAGCAACTTCTCAGCTAGGGATGAGTCCCTGTCCCATCCATGCTGCTAATCCTAAGAATAAATACCTTATTTAAAAGAGGATCATAACAGATATAATTAAAGATTCTGATATAGAACTATCCTAGATTATCCACTTGAGTCTTAACGTGTCATCGCAGGTGTGATTAAGAGAGAAGTAATGGGAAAACAGACAAACACAGACACACACAACAATGGTGCCAGGGGCTTGGGGTAACACAAACACAAACCACAAGCCAAAGACTGTCTACATGCAACAGATGCTAGACGCTACAAAGATTCTCTCCTAGAACCTCCAAAGGGAGGACAGACCTGCAGGCACCTTCATCTCTAACTTCTGGCTTCAAGGATGAGAGAAAAAGCTTAAGTTGTTTTACATTACCCAGTTTAAGATGACCTGTTACAGAAGCACTCTGAAAGTAACACAGCTGCCTTCCTAATGTCCTAGTATACTGCTTGCTTCCTCCCGAGTCCTTTGCACCTGATGTCCTGTTAAGACTCCTTCAAATCTAACCAGCTAATAACTTCAGGAAGCCACCCCTCTCCACTTGATCTAAGACTACCCCAACATAACAGGCTCACACTCCTCCATTTTTATGGCTCTCTACTGTGCAGATTTAGTTGATTCTCAAATGTGTTTACTGTGTCTCCTAAAATGTCTGAAAGAAAGTATTTTATGTCCAGCACCATTTAAAGCACTCAGGATTAAGTAAAAATATGCTGAATAAATCATAGATCATGTTATTCATTTACTTTTAGAACACCTAGCTAACTACAAGCCATTTGTAGTCTCTTGACCCACTCAAACACATTAATATAGAAATTTGAAAATATTTATCCCATAAAGATTCTCTCTTAAGCTATAAATAACTTTTGATGAATATATTTCTGTTTACCTGTATTCTTACTGTTAATTCTGAGATGTCATCTACTAATTTATTTTTTTATTTCATCATCTATTACTGCTACTGTTGCTTAATAAAATTATAATTATAAAGAGTTTAAATTTTTTCACTTCACTTTCAGGAGCTTTTTTCATCCTGAAATGTATCAAAAAGGCAAACTTGCCTTACACAGAAATGATTATTTAGAATTACTCTCAGTTAACAAAAAGCATCATTGTACAGTAATCAAACTGAGTACCTAATACATTCATCCCAATAAGACAACAATGTACAAATGTGCAGCAACTGTGATTTCTGAACTATATTGCTAAATAGTTTTTCATAATTTCACACCTTTTATTCTATCCTTCAGTGATACATTCCCTTCCAAATCTAGATGTGGGAAGTACCAAGAGCTTTCAGAACACTACTCTACTATTTCAAAGTATATAAGCATATATTATTATATCTCAAAGAATGCTCATTAAAGTTCTGACCACAGATACTATATAAGATAATATTAGCACAAGACTATTTCAAAACCACTATTAAGTTCAAAATGGAAATGAAAATTCAGTGGAAACAATCAAAAGTGTCTTAAAATCTGAATAAAAGACCTTCAGTTTTCCGCCATAAAAAATGTTATTTATTCTTAGCCTCTGCACTTTTTACTCAAGGAATCAACAATGTATTTTGTTCCTTCAAGTCAACAAAGCCAAGTTACTAACTGTAAAGCCAGCAAAAGGTATCAAGTGTGAAGACCAATCAAAGAAACTTATTACAAACTGGCTCCATATGATGATATGAAATCATAAGTTACAATTATCAATTTAGCATTCTTGATGTCAGGGTACGTGGTTATATTACTGAAAAGTAGAGAGATTCCAAAAAGGTACATTTCAAAGATCTAACAACCTGCCAATTTGATAGCTCATGCCTATAATCCCTGCATTTAGAGGCTAAAGGAGGAGAAAGGGGAGGGGGAATAGAGTGAGGAGGAGAAAAGGAAGGAAAGGGGAGGAGAGAGAGAGGAAGGGGGAGCAGAAATTTAATAGCCACCCAACTTCAGAAACAGTGCAGAAATATATACAACCTACTCCACAGTGCAGCATGCTGTTTAAAGAACATTTCATGACAAAAAAAAAAAAATCTGTAAGAAAAGTCAGGCAGATGACTCACAAAGTCCAAGTAGAATAGAGTCTTTATCAGCAAATTAAATTTTTATTATATAAATCTATTAAGAACTAGAAGGAATGGGCAACAGTGGGGCACACCTTTAATCTCAGCACTCAGGAGGCAAAGGCAGGTGGATCTCTGTGAGTTGGAGGCCAGCCTGGTCTACACAGCAAGTTCCAGGACAGCCAGGACAGAGAAATCTTGTCTCAAACCCCACTCCCGCAAAACCAAAAACAAACAAACACAACCAGAAAGAACAAGTCATTGAATATTCTCTGGACTAACATTCCCATTTTTGGAAAAGAAAACCCCAAATTAAATAAACAAGCCATAGATACCAATGATAATATAATAACAAAAACTTGTGACTGTCTTAAACACCCAAAGGAAAATCACATATCTCAGTACATTCTTTTGAACAAAATATAATACTGTAGAAATTGTTTTTAAGAAATTCATAATTAGTGCTGAAGTAAAAAAATCAAAATTGTTGCTATACTCATCATTAAAACTATGTAAAATATTTTTGAAAAACAAATACTAAAAATTTAACAAGAGAGCAAGACTTTTAGGCAATTTGTCTCTCTCCCCAAAAACGTTATAAAGATAACTATTAAAATATAACATACACTAACGGTGATCATTTCCAAGGCAAGAAATATTACACATTCAGATTATTATTTGGGGTATTTGAATTCAAAACCCACCTATCAACTGACCCCAGTTAGATTCAATGCACTGAATGTTTTATATTTGTGTAAAATAAGCATTTCAGCAGGAGATCACTTAAAATCAGAAATGTCATACACACAAAATTCCTAATGTGAGAGAACTTCTGCAAAAGCAGTATCTTATAAAGTGCCTTCCATCGATATGAAACTCCAAAGCTCCTTCTTTGGAGTTACAATTTTAATTCCCCAAATGCCATTCAGAAAAAAGAATATTTTATAGTCCAATTCATTCTCAATGAGCTCCTTATGTAACAATACTTTTCAGAATTCAAAGTACCACCCAGAACCAAATCATTATTTCCAATTTTCTCTATACAAGTTATCTGTCAAGAGTTTCTAGCTCATTGATACAAGCTTGTGTGCACCTGTAAGTCCTAAATCATTAAGATTTGAATTACATTCGTAGTATTACAGCTTTTGCTTGTGATTATCACATTTCCATGTATACATTATTCAACCTGAAGGATAGCCTGCTTTTCTCATTCCCTATAAAACAAGTAATAAAGGTCACATGCAGAGAAACACTGAAATGGGCTATAATATCTTAGAACTTCCTCACCAGTTTAATTTTTAAATGAAAGAAAGGATGATAGGGGGTAGGGGTGTACACAGTGGGAGATCTAAGAGGAGAGGAGCAGAGCAGCAATCAGGATGTAAAGTGAGTAAGTAAAAAAATTTAAAATCCACAACATTTAATGACTCTCAACTATTAAGTTTTATTACCTTTTCAAATACAGGAACATAGGGAGACACATGAGGTTTGAGGATTTCTGCTTCCCAATCTTCATCTCCCATGGTAGCTTCAGGTCCCTTAAGAAAACAAAAACAAACAAAAAAAAAGCATTTTTGGCCACAGACACATCCGAATCCTTCTCTTTCAATTATGGGGCTGTGGTATAGGTCAAAGACAATAAATGAGGCACAAGGCACTGGGACGGGCAATCAACACCACAAAATAGTAATATATAAAGATTATCTTTTTGTCCCTACACACCACTTGAAACTACTAAACCAACGTGATGATCTTAGAAGCCTTTGGCTTCTTTCCTAAGGGCGATCTGAACAGCCAGCATTTTTATCTTTCAAAGGCTGAATCATTCGAGCAATCCCCATGTCTGCAGGAGTGCCTAGGCTTGTCCAAAATCTGTTCTCCCTCAAAGGACTACCCCAATGCTGTATAGGAGCCGGGTGGGTAGTTTCTGAGATAATATTCATGGGATTCCCCTTTGGGGCCGCTCATGGGCAGACAGGACGTCGAGGCCTTTGGAGACTGGAAGGGGAGAACGGACAGGATCGCCTGACTCCCTTCAACGCGGGGCGTCGAGGAGGCGTGCTCACCACAAACACCGTTTCTCGTGAGAAATGGCCGCCTGGGCGCTAAGCAGAAGGTTCCTTGGGCCTCCTTCCCCTGCGGGCCTCAAATCTTCACACCCGCTCCGCTCGGCATGGAGACGCAGGTCGGAGCGGGAAGGCCCCGGAGGCCACCCTCAAACCCCGCGCAGGCCCATGTGTGCGGCCCCCGGAGGCCGCTGGGCCCGGCTAGGGCGCCCGGGGCCACGGTCTACAGCGAGAAGAAGGCGGCCAGCCCACTCACCTCTCCGCTCCAGGCTTCCTGGGCTCCTCGCGGCCACCGACGCGGCTTAAACGGCTGCACGTGCGGACGCCTGGACGCCGAGTGCGTCAGGGGCGCGGGCCGACAACAAATAGCACCAGGCGACCGGGCCCACCAGCCAATCAGCGCCCGGGGCGCGCGGCTTCCCGCCCCACGGAGGCCTGCGCAGTCCCAGCCCTTGGGGAGGCCGAGGCCGGGGCTGTGCGGGTCTCTCGGCTCTGTGGCCCGTTAGGCCTACGGGAGTGGGCTGACCCTGCGCCGGCCGCTCACTGCATCCCGTCTCTCTCTCTCTCCTGCCACCCCCGGAGGCTCAGCGGCTCCATTTTTCTCTGGGGGCGGGGAGGGTGTGTGTGTGAGAAGGGGTATGGGACTCGGGAGGCAGAGGCAGGCGAGTCTCTGGGTTCGAGGACAGCCTGGACTACAGAACAAATTCCAGGACAGTTAGGGCTACGCAGAGAAACCCTGTCTTGAAAAATCAAAGCGGGGGGGGGGGGGGGACGACACAAAACTGGGAGCCATGGAAATGCCCTCTCTCCTTGCCCTTCAGGTCTCCTCTGTTGACCTCTCACAGTGCCGGGCTTGGCTCTTCTGGGTCGAAATGTCTGAAGCACTCGCATTATAACTGAGATATCCACTTTCCTCCATTCCTCTACTAAAAGTTATCAAGAAAGCTAGAATGTGGGAAGAAAACAGTCCCTCGCAGGAGAGGAAGAAATGGCTGTTTGCCAAGGCCTGGATTTGGGGTTCATCTCGGCATGCCCGAGGGCACATTCAGCATTTAAAGCACTCATTAACTAGATCTGCTTGTTCTGTCCACGGCTCTCTCTCTCAGAAAGAAAAATCCTTCAATGTTTTTCCCAATAAGCCCCAGAAGTGTAACAATCAAATGTATGGAAAGCACAGTTCTTGTTTTTATTTTATTTCCATCATTTTCCTTTCTCTGAATCTTTGAAGAAATTTCTAGATAACTCAGTCAGGAACGCAAATCCCAATACAATCTGATGTAAAAGATGAACTCCAGCTGAAGCTTTAAACTTCCATTTCTAGAACCACCTGTCTGTTTCAGCACCAAAAACATCTTAGCACTTGCCTAGTAAGCTCTACAGTCTGCCAATTAGGCTGAATTGTTTTTTTAAAAGCTATGTTTAACAAAGGCTAAACCACAAAATAGTTTAACAGAACTGTCACTTAAAATGTGAACAAACTTCCTAAAAGGAACATATTTTTAAACAAATGTTCTTTGCTATGCACTTTTGGAGTGAACAGGGTTCCCTGCTAGGTCCAGAGACAGCACATCCCTGTAACCATTGCTTGGGAGACACAGGCAGGAAGACCAGGAGCTCAGTTGCACAGCTAGTTCAAGGCCAACCTATGCAACTTAACACCCAGCCTCAAAAGCCAAACATAACTAATAATAAGGCAAAGGCCAGTAAGATGTACCTGACAACCTAAGGACTTGAGCCTGACCCCTGAGGCCCACGTAAGGAGGAAACTGTCCTCTGACCTCCACTCACGCACCACCACCTGAACACCCCCTCCCCCCAGAGAATAAACAAATGTAACAAGTTTTTAAAATGAAGACCAAAAGATTGAAGCTTTTGAACACTGAGGTCATCACCAGCATTTGGCTGGAAATTCAACATTGGAGGGAAAGCGTGGTTGGAGTTGGGGAAACAGCAGTAAGTCCAAAAGACATATTACCACAATTTTCTTTTTCCAAATATAAGAAAACAGGAACCATGAGTGAGGGAACCTGGCAAACACTACCTCAACTACATGAGCTGAGTTCACAGCACTTTTAATGCTGATTGGAACTTGAATCATCTGACAGCTTAATATCAGCTTTTTTTCTTCTTCTTCTTTTTGGCATTGTCAGAGCTTGAACCTAGGAAGTAGAGCATGCCAGACAAGCTCTCTACCACTAAGCTATATCTCAGGCCCCAATATCGATTTGTTTAAACATCCAAGGTGGCTTCTTTTCTCGGGCATCTGGTGCTGGGATGGCCAGAACAATTGAATGCTGGTCAAACCTATTTCTCTACAAGCGGCTGGCTTGAGTTTTGAAGGTTCCTGGACAATCTCAGTCAGGCTCTGGAAGGTTGCTGCTCCAGGCAGCACTTCAACTGGACACACGTCACAGACATCACTCCAAGAAACCAGGGCAATAGCTGCAAGGCTCCTTTACCTTCTAGCATAAGAAGTTAAATAATTATATTTTGGACAATTAACTCCTTATGAGAAAGTCACAAGGCCAGTTCAGACTTGTGAATGTCGGCCTACAGAATACCATGAAAACTGGAGGTATAGTTTATTGAAGAAGCTGGAACTTGACTATGGTTGATCTCATAGTTGCATTAATTAACTCCTGTGATGTTCTCAAGTCCCTTTCATATCCCCAGTAACTTATTTCCCTTTTTAATGTTGTTCCAAAGCTACCATACATGTATTTATTCCAATTAATTCTTTCTCTTCTATTTTCAAATAGCTTATCTTGGAGTTCATTCACTCTCTCAATTACTTGTAATTTGGCTTCTTTTGTTTTTGTTTTCAGAAATTGAAGCCAGCAAGCTTATTTTTTCAGCCTACAGTTTCCAACGCTAGATGGCACCAAAATCCAGGCTGCCTGGGGCAGAAGGCAATCCAAGCTTAGGTTTTCCCTAAAGCCACAGCTGTTATTAGAGAGCTTTAATAAGGGGTAGTATATGCACACAAACCTCTGCCTGGGGCTTGCATAGGCTTACTCGTGCCTTCCAAAGTCATCAGTCTGTGGTTATGAACTATAGAATTCCATGAAGCCCTAGAAAGAATCGCCAGCTGGTTCCTACTCCAGAACTGTGGCTGTGTGAATGCTGTCATGCTGAGCCCACAATCCGTCCAAGAGCTGGCAGTATAGCAAAATGAGACAAGCCCATCATGCTACAGTGTGTAACCCTGGATAGTTGTGCTACAGGTTAGGAATGGGTGGTGGCAACAGTCCCTCAGGGACTCTAAAAGGCTGGCACTGAGATTCTTGCTTCCAGGCTTTCCTACCCAGTAGGCAGTCTTGTTTTCTATTCTAAAAGCTGAGATTGTGGGGAAAAGATTTCTAGCTGCAGTCTTGGTCATCTCACTATCACTGGTCCAGCAGCGCCATCTGCAGCTACAAGCCTGGACCACAGGAGGCACAGGGTTCCACCCGGGACTGAGATCAGCGTGATAGCTTCATTCTGATTCAGGTCAGAGGTCAGGATTTAATTCCTTCTCCATCCCCAAAAGTGGAGGTATCACTCTCCATGAAGCTTGGAATTATGGGAGGGGCAATATAGGCCTCGGCATCTTTTCAGTGTGCCTTTGCCTGTTATACTAAAATCAACCTTATGACATTATGACATGTGTCATGTACAAATGTGTTGGGCCTTACCTACAGCGATCCTGGAATGCAGAAAAACCCTAGGGCCACAGGCTAGACGAACAGGTTAGAACACCTGTAGGGAAGTAACTGATATATAATCTTACCTAGCTGCCATCGGGATCTGGCTCCCCGAAGCGGACAGCATTTAAACACAACCACACAAAACAAGGATCTCTGAGAACCGTGTGCCACCTGATATGTCATAGTGGGAAGTAGAAAACATTGTATGTGGAGGCTTGACTTCAAAATTCAACTTTAGATACAATCAAACTTTTAGATTTAACTCCCAGTCCATGGCAAACAGAAGAAACAGATGTTATGTTTCACCACAGATGCAGATTCAACAAAATTCAAAATGCAGGAAACGTTACTGGAAAAAAAAATACCTCAGGAGATAAGAGACAAATCAAAGACATGTGACTCCAGATTCTAACCAACTATAAAGTTTATAATATGAAACAAGAAATTGGGGAGGGCATGGTGGCTCATGTCTTAATAATCTAGCACTCAGGAGGCAGAGGCAGGAAGATCTCTAAGAGTTTGAGACCAGTCTGGTCTACACAGCAGGTTCCAGGCCAGTAAGGGTTACAGAGTGAGAACCTATCTCAAAAAAAAAAAAAAAATCAGTATATTTTGATTGTATGTGTGTGTACACGCGTAACATGCATGCTCATATGTGTGAGAGCATGTGTATATGCTCATATGCATGGAAGCCTTGAACAACCTTAACAACTTAGGACAGGGTCTCTCATTGATCTGGAGATTGCCAAGGTGGCCAGCCTGGGGACCCACCTGTCTCTCTAGTTCCAGAACTGGGATTACAAGCACATGCCATCATGAGCCTAAACTCTTTTTAAAATGTGGTTTTGGGGGATTAAATTGAAGTCTCTGTGCTTTTGTGGCAAGCACTTAACCAAATGAGCTGTCTCCACAGCTTCAGGAAACGTATTAACTGACTAAATACTAAATGATGCTAAGCAAATATTAATGTTTTTGATATATTTTTGTTAAGTCTCCCTGATAGGAAAATTTTCTTTTTTCTCTGAATTCTAGTCTGAAAAAAGACAATTTTAGGAACAAGAATACTATCAGCAAAGTAACTTGTATCTCCCTTAAAGACAACATTCATTCAGTCAACCTACTTGGAATTATCAAGCCCTCAGTATCAGAGTCTATATTTAGAAGCATTTGAGAGAAGAATTCGGATGCCCTTGGTTTGAATTCCTGATATTTTGCCACTTAAAAGTTTGTGTGGCTTAAGCCTTTAATCCCAGCACTCAGGGAGGCGAGGCAGTCAGATCTTTGTGATTTTGAGGCCAGCCTGGTCTACAAAGCCAAGTCCAGGACAACCAAGGCTACACAGAGAAACCCTGTCTTGGAAAAAAAACAAACAAAAAAAGTTTGTCTGGCCTTGCCATGTCTCTTAACTTTTCTGTTTCTTTATCGGTAAAATAGGTATAACGTGCAGTTTCGAAAGATTTAAAGAGATAAACGTAAAATTCTTAGACTTCATTACTATTTTATAAGTTTACGTCTTGGGGTCTTGATCACGTTGCTTTCTAATACTAGCTTTCTTTACAGAGTCCTGTTTTAGACCATGCCATATAGGTGTAAGGGATTTACCTTGAGCTGACTTCCTTACCAAAATACATTCGCTTTAGGGAGATTGTATGTTTATTTGTGTCGGTTTGAGTTACTCTCCGAAAGCTTCTTTTTGTCTAGAGTCTACTTTGTCAAAGCATTAAAATAAATAAATAAATAAATAAATAAATAAATAAATAAATAAATAAA